GATTCGTCAATTGTTGTTGATTCATGACATGGTTTTACTCGAGGGGGGGGGGGCAAAAAAAGCATTAACTCGGAGATATACTTAAGAAAATAGATTTTTCACTTTCATAATGTAGAGATCAGAAGGCAAAAACATCACCATATATTTTTTTTTCAAATTGTAAATTGAATTTGTTTAGTTAAGAGTTTCATAATCAATATGTACATCAAATAACATCATATTTATTCAATTGACATTACTTTTACCGGATACCGGGTATCCTGGTTTGTTGCTGAAGTCTAACATGTCCTTATAGTTTTTATCAGAAGGAGCAATTTGTATTTCTTATCTTCCATACTTCCCATGACACAAATGTTTGCAAGTTGATTTTCCATGACGTCGATGATTTTGAATATGCGCCACGAATAACCGTAACAACATACTTAAGACTTGCAATGTTGGTTGATACAAAAACATCACGGCAATTGTTAATCTGTAATATTTTTCTTGAAGGTTGTAGCGAGGGACAACTGAAAATTAGGTGTTCGAATGTTTCGCATTCTAAATTACAATAGAAACCTTCGGGGGCATTCTCAAGAAATAAAAACCACCGCTTTTCTCCATCTTCACAAACATTGTACGCGAATTTATAAAGAAAGTTTTTTTCCCATACATCAAGCATTGAATTTTTCCAAACATTGCCTGTAAATTCAATCAATTCATCTTCTGAACAGAGGTAACAGTTTGCAGCAAAACACAAGCGGAAAATTGCAGCTCGATGAAAACTACAGTTTTGTAAGCAGAAATAATAAACATCTCGCGATTTTGTCTGTACTGTTATAATTAAACGGCTATTGGTAATGTTTGAAAAAATTGCAAAATCACTCGAACTTATTTCAATAGAACTGTTCGTATTTCTCAACAAATTTTTGATTTCTTTCGTGAAAATAAATTCTGTTGGTAACAAACTATTTCGATCTGACATATCAGAAGCAAAGAAATCGATAATTTTTAGACTAAAAAGTTTAAATTGTAGGCATGGTAAGCCTACCCCACCATCTGAAATGGGGTGATGTAAAACTTCTTTCCTTATGTCGAGTCTACTTGATTTTTTCAATTCTGCTTTTAATAATTCTTGGCATTTATTAACAGTATCCAAGTTAACTGTAGTATGACGAGCCAAATGAAAAAATTTAGGGAGAACATAAACTGACAGTGTTAATGATTTGGCCCTCAAAGATTTACTTAGTGAAATTAACCCGCAATGTTTTTGAATTTGAGAACTCAACATTACTTCAATATTTTCAACTTTTTGGGAAGTGTAAAACAAGACACCAAGTATTTTTGTTTCCTTGACTGTTTTATAGGGTGATAAATCAGGTATGGAAAGCACTTCACTTTTACTTATTTTAATCATCATTTGAGTTTGTCTGCAAAATGTATCGATTAAGCGGAACAACCTGTCAATACATCGGATTTTGATAAGGCAAGTTATGTCGTCTGCATATGAAACTAGTTGGGGCACAATAACCCGAAACCTTCAATTTCTTCTGTAGATTCAATTGCTTGAAGAAGGGCTTCGATAAAATTTATGAATAAAAATGCGGAAAGAGGGCAAAAATGCGGAAGGATGAATTTTGAAGCTGGCTGATAAAAAACAGTTTATCTCAATTACTGCTTTTGAGTCTAAATACAAAGTTTCATTAGCTCTATCTGAAAACTCATCGAGGTTTAACCCTTTCAAAATTTTGATGAGAAGTGATCTGTCAGCTCTGTCAAACGCTTTAAAAAATTCTAAATTTACAGCACATGAACCTCTGTTAGCCAATCGTTCTGGAGTAACCGCTTTTTTCAACTTTCGTATTGCTGTGTGCAATTGTCTTCCAGGCAAATAAATGTGCTGATGGTTTTTTACAACTTTGCAAAGGTCTTTTTTAATTCTATTACAGACTACATGGGCAAAGATTTTCGCGTCAGTATTCATGAGGCTGATGGGGCGAAAATCTTGTACTGCTATGGCATTTTCAGATTTCGGGAGCAGTTTGATTATTGCTAAACAAAATCTGCTTGGAAATTTTCCACCATGAACAAAATGATTAAAAAACTTTAGCTAAAATTGAGCAAAACTCATCCGTAAAATTCTTATATAGCTGGGATGTAAGGCCGTCTGGTCCAGGTGAGCTTTTCAAATTCAATTTGTTTATAGCCAAGTGAATTTCATCTTCTGTAAAGTAATTATAGCCATCATTCTCATTATTTTCGAGTTTATTTTTTGATAAGAATGTCATTAGTAGTTGATCGGAGTCTGTTGTAGAATTAATTGAAAAAATATTTGAAAAATACTTTCGAAATTGATTAAGAATCTCCTCATCCGTATGATAAACGTTCTGATCCACTTGAATTCGCTTGATTGAATTAATTGTGTTCTTTGAGGTCCATTGACTACAAAATTTGGGCACACCCTCAAATGTATAGCTGAGAGTTTTCTGAATTTTTCGATAGTCTGAAAAAAATTTTTCCTGGGAAACTTTTTGAAGATGTTCCCGAACCAAATGATGTTTTTCAATCAAACTAGGGTTCGGACCTTTTCCGCTGTGAATGCAATTTCTGAGAACATTTTCATGATACTTCAATGTATTAAGTTCTTTCTGATCTACAGGCTTTTTGTTTTCTTGAATAAACCTCAGAAGGTCACGAAAATTGTGCTTAAATTTTTCGTAACTACTTGGTGATTCATTTTCAAAAAAGCTTTTTAGATTTTCACGAATTAGGCTGGCGTTGTTTTTTAAAATTTCTTCATTTAGTTTCCGGTAACTAGGGCCGCGCTGATACAAGTTAGATGGCTTAACAAAAACGTGTAAGAGTAAAAGATCAGAAATTGATATTTGAGTGCTTTGCATAGTGTCATACTCTGTTTCGAATTTCATAAAAACATAATCTATGCGCGCAAAAGTTTTATGTTGTTTGTCATAATGTGTATAATCACAAAAATCATTCTTGAGTGCAAAATCAACAAAACCAAAACAATCAAGAATTTGTTCTTTGAGTTGGGTAAATCGTTTGATACGTATTTAACGCATTTCACTTAAGTATTGAAGAACTGTTAATATTGTCATAACTCAGCGCATTAAAATCACCCATCATGATAATTTTCGAATTATTAGGAAAAAAAACCTGATGCTTAACTTCAGGGAATTCAAAGTTGCTTGGAATGAAATTGGATTTGCATAAACGTTGATAACAAACCAATTAAGTTTGACAAAATTTAACAATTGAAAACCTGTACTTGAAGCAATTCTTTTTGCAGGACTCAAGTTTGATGACCATAACGTTACGAAACCACCAAAATTATTTGAGCCCGGTATGGAATCGAATAAAACATTATATTTATCCAGTAAACTCAAATGTATATTTGTAAGTTTTGATATTTTTGCTTCCTGAATGCACAAAATGAAACTGGGCGATTTTTTTAAAACTTGGCATTTTTTGATGAGTGAGTGTAATTTAGCTGGATTTCCTATGCTAAAAATATTAACGGAAAAAATATCTGGTTTTTCGCACATAGAAATTTTGCTAACACTTCTCTCCAACCAAGTCTTCTCCGTTATTTTTAGATTTTATTTTAGGCCTTTTCTTCCGTGTTAAAACTGACCGAGAGGTTGGTGAAATTTCACGCTCTCTTTTTGTAAGCATTCTTCCGTCAGAGGAACATTTTCGTTTGCTATTTTCGATAATTAAATTGTCTTTTTTTTCTTTTGCAGAGTAAGAATGAAAATCTACGACCTGATTGTTGAGAACCTCATCCTTTTGTTTTTCTTCGCTTGGAGTTGCTACACTGTTTGTTTTAGATTAATTAATCAAAACTCTAGATGGTGGTGTTTCGACATTCTTATCTTCTTCATTTTCGGTACCATTACAAAACTTATCGCTTGTTGTTTCGTCATCATTTTTTCTCGTCATTGGCATTATTGGAGCTTGGTTTTTGTGGGTACTGATTATTTGGATTATTGGTAATTTGGTTTCCTATGTTGCACCAATCATCGTGATGACCTTTTTCTTGGCGTCCAGACATCTTGCATTTTTGACATTCATGTAGTGAAGGTATGTGAAACGAGATTTCTACACCTTCCCACATTTTGAAGCCATCCATTCTCGATTTGTAAGACCAGTCCGTCAGCTTTTTCTCTTGTTCTTCGTTTTGAATTTTAACTTCTAAAATGGCTCTACTTGTGTAAACATATTGACCCGGTTCAGTTACGATACAGGTCTCACGTTGGAATATGGGGCTATGAATTATGTCTTCTGGCAATTTGAGAATTAATTTCGCTTCGATATCGTTGCATACATAAGGCAAGTTCGACAATTTGATTTTGGCTAGTTTAGGGTAAATGTTCTTGGGTCTATGAGACCTTGGAAAGCATCCCATGGGAAATATCGTCCTGTTAAGTAGAATGATTCCTTCGCTTTTGATGCTAGTTATGAATAGCTCTGCTTCGGGGGGAGCAATTACTGTCAGTGTATGAAGTTTGCGGTCATCTTTCGTCACAGTTATTGTTTTTGAGATTGTCATCTTCTGTTGCATTGTTGTGGGGAATTGTTTAAGTATATCGGAAGCACAACTCCGATAAGCCTGCGACAGATTTTCAGCTGACTTTAAAATTTCTCTCGAGAATGGGGGGATTATTTTGAGTATTTGGATTTGTTTTGTTTCTGTTGTCGATTTGTTTGCTGTTAGCACATTTCTGAATTTTGTCTCCGTAATTGGTAGCTGAGACTCCGTCAGTTGTTGTTGACTCATGACTTGGTTTTACTCAGTGGGGGGCAAAAGAGCCTCACCCGGAGATATACTTGAAAAAAATTAATTTTTTTTGATCAAAATGAAGAAGGCAAAAACATCAACAGAAGGCAAAAACCATATTGCACATGCGATTTGTAATTGTTTTTTTCAACTCATAAATTCGTTTTTAAAAGAGATATGTGTTTTTTCCATGTGATGTTTTTAAAAATCCATAGCAACTGAATCAGTTAAATTATATAACATAATTTTCTTTATTACATTCTAGTTCAGTTGACATTAACTATAATCGACAATGGGTTCCAGACAAGTTTTACAGGTGTTCGAGCAGTATCAGAAGTCACGCACTACGTTTGTGCAAACAGTCGCAGAACTTGCAAGCAGGCCTCAAAACATTGAGACCTTGCAAAATGCAGGTGTCATGAACTTGCTGCGCCCACTGCTACTGGATGTTGTTCCAACTATTCAGCAGACAGCCGCATTAGCTCTCGGAAGATTGGCAAATTATAATGACGACCTCGCTTTAGCTGTTGTCAAGGGTGATATTTTGCCTCAATTGGTGTACTCTCTCGCTGAACAGAACCGATTCTACAAAAAAGCTGCAGCTTTTGTTCTACGCGCGGTGGCAAAACATTCTCCTGAGCTGGCTAATTCGGTGGTAGAATGCGGTGCACTCGACGCACTGGTAATTTGCCTGGAGGAGTTCGACCCTGGAGTCAAAGAGAGTGCTGCTTGGGCACTTGGATACGTTGCTAGACATAATGCTGAATTGTCTCAAGCTGTTGTTGATGCCGGCGCGGTTCCTCTCTTGGTTCTTTGCATCCAAGAACCGGAACTATCTTTGAAAAGAATTGCGGCATCTGCACTGAGCGATATTGCCAAACACTCACCTGAATTGGCTCAAACTGTTGTGGATGCTGGAGCCATTGCGCATCTAGCGCAAATGATTCTCAACAATGATGCGAAATTGAAACGACAGGTGTTTTCTGCACTCGCACAGATAGCAAAACATTCAGTCGACTTAGCTGAAATGGTTGTCGAGGCTGAAATTTTTCCGGCTGTTCTCACTTGCTTACAGGACTCGGACGAGTATGTGAAGAAGAATGTGGCTACTCTTATTAGAGAAATAGCTAAGCACACCCCGGAATTGTCACAACTGATCGTGAACGCTGGCGGTGTGGCAGCTATAGTGGATTACATAGGAAGTTCGAAGGGAAATATTCGTTTGCCTGGAATCATGATGCTAGGATATGTTGGCGCTCATTCAGAGAGCTTAGCAACAGCTGTAATAGTGTCAAAAGGAGTCGATCAGTTATCAGTAGCAATGACAGAGGAGACAGAAGATCACATCCTGGCTGCTATTAGTTGGTCGCTAGGTCAGATTGGACGTCACACTGCCGAGCATTCGAAAGCAGTTGCAACACGTAACGTTTTCCCGAAGCTGCTTCAATGCTATCTTCGAACAGACGCATCCGAGGATCTACAACAGAAGTCAAAGAAAGCCTTGAAGAACTCTCTCCAGAAGTGCGTACATCTGTCAGCTCTAGAGCCTCTCCTGCATGATGCCCCGTCAAACATACTGAAACATGTTGTGGCTCAATTCAGTAAAGTTCTACCACATGATCAAAAAGCACGTCGCTTGTTTGTCACAAGCGGTGGCTTGAAGAAAGTCCAAGCCATCAAAGCCGAACCTGGGTCAGCACTTGCTGAGTATATTAACACTATAAACAACTGTTACCCAGAGGAGATCGTGAAATACTACTCTCCAGGATATTCCGAGACACTATTGGAGAGATTGGAAAGCTACCAACCAGTTGCTTGAGAATCAACATCAACTAAACTACATATATAGAAATTAAATCTGTATCGTACTAAAATTTACCAGCATCCTAAAGTGCTTTTTTTTAAAAGTACTGAACTGATACTTCATATGGCAGAGCAAGCAACATTAAATAATTTATGAACTATTTGCATTAAATCTTATCGGGTAATGTTGCTCAATCTGCCTTATATATACTCCAATAGAGATGGCCATTTAAGTAAAATGTAAATAAAATTTATTATATAAGATCTTCTAGTAACTCGAGTTCTAAGACATCTACGCGTTCGAACCCAATCCATTTGTTGATTTTTTTTGCCTCAACTTCGTCAACATATTTGAAAGGCCTAACTTTTTTGATAGAGCCAGGAACCAGTATGCATTATTTTGTTTTCTAGTTCTTGGCGATTCGAACTTAAAACGATGATGATTTTATTTTGCGATGAAAAAAGACCTATCTCGACGCTATCGTAATGTTGTTTCAACAGGATAATTAAACGGTCGACTTGTGAAGGAAATGTGTCCTAGCCTTCATCTTTTGGCTGATTTTTAGGCTTTTAAAGGTGAGTGTAATACCGTGTGATCAGTCGCGATGCGGATTCGGAAAAGAACTTAGACGAAAATTTCTCGGTTTTGAGGCAATAAATTTGCTATTTTTGATTCCCTATAAGAAACGACCGCAAAGGAGTGGCTAAATTTGTTGCACTGAAAATAGAATCAAGTTAAATATTTAAATAGCTTTCTTTTGAAATCTAGATTATACAACATTTGATATTTTTTTATCTTCAAATTGATATTAGTTAATTCATTCAAAACACGTCCGGAAAGACAATTACCTGCGTTAAAGAAGTATTTACTCAGCCAAAAATTAACTTAAGTCTGTAAACAAAATTCACGCAATTTGCACGCAAGTTATTGTCTAAATTCCGTTATTTTCTGCTCGTATAAATTCCAGTTGTCTAAGTTCCTGAAACCCTCCTAAGAGTGGGAAAGAACTAAGGTGTAGATTGGTTTCCTTAGCGCGATTTTACCTAGCTCAATGAAAGCTTGCACTAGACCTAGTGTTATATCACACTAGAGCACTCTCCATCGTAATTTGGATTCAAAATAAACAATGCAAAAATGACCGGAAAGAAGGGTTGAATATTTCCGTTTTTCGGTTGAAATTAAAGCCTGCGCAGAGAAGATTTGATTAAATTTTTCACCTTATAATTTTTTAAAAATATTTTTCAAGGAAGCTTTTTTTGCAATCATTGCTTCTTTTTGAAGTGCGACTCTCTATCTAGTAAAATTTTGAAAAATCGCACGTTATAACAATAAATATATATTTTTTGTAATACTAATCTTTTTCTGCGTTGATTCTGTGATTGATTTGTAGACTGGAGTTGGTTAGATTTAGTGTAAGACATTGTTTCAACAGTATACGGAATTTTACAAGGTACCAAAGAGAAAAATAGGCTACAAAAATCAGATAAAGCTAATTGTCAATTGATTTCAAAAGAATAGAAAAGTTTTTTTTTAATTTTAAAAATGATGTTAATTGAGCTTATAAGGTGTAAAATTATTTTAATTGATATTATCTGTTGTTACGGAGTTGAAAGAAATTTCAGTTTAGGTAATCAAAGCGCGTTTGGTTTTAAGATGTTTCAAGATAGACAACGCGCATTAACTAGCAAAATTGAGAATTTTCATTAAAGAAATTTGAAAAAAAAAACCTTTAAGTTTTCACCCAAAGTGACAATTTTCAAACCTCCATAACAGATCTCCGTTAAGTGACGACTTAATTCAAAATTGAGGGAAACAAAAATTGGCCCAAATAGTCCGTATTTTATTACAATGTGGAGCTCAGGCTTATCAGTATGAAAGTTTCAACTTTTCTACTTTTTTGTTGAAATTTTTTCTTAAAACCTAAAATTATTTTGTGCGGTCGAAACACAAGGTTTTTTTCTCTGATGCAAGCTACTTTGCTTTTGTTGGGTGGAATGATCGCTAATGCCTTAGTTTTTTATGAGAAGGCGAAATAATTCGAAGTCCTTGACCATCCAGGTGCGTTGTTTGAGGGCGATACATTGTTTCTGCGAAAAATAATCAAAACTTTCATGTTAGTCTAGATAAGAGAGACGGCAGCGGTTCTCCCTACAAAACTGACCAGCTCAAATCTTGGTTCTCTTTGGTTGATAATTAGTTGGAATTAAACTTTGTTTCGACCATTCAAAACCGTGAGGAACTTTGTATTTGGGTGTGTTTTTTTTTCCTCTTTTGTTTTCCACGCAAAATCAGGTTCCACAAATTATCTTTGGAATGTGTCGAGCAATATATCATATTGAAGCTTTTTCAGTTGTGATTCAAGCAACAATTAAGAAGTTTCAAAATTAGTCCCGAGAAAACCGGTTTGAGAGTCTTAGTCTATTTTTGAGCGAGTAAAGCAATCGAGTAACAATCGTTCTTTTCAAATGCTCATTTAGGCTCTGAAAAATTGATTTATCAAAAAGAAAACTAGTTTTGTATGCTACATTTAGCTCTTCATTGTCAATTGAAGTTTTCAAATTGCTGCAAACGTTTTTTTAAATTTCATTTTTGTTTGTTATTCATTTTTTCAAGACAATTTTTGTCGATTTTGCCTAATTCACTTACAATTTTTTCTCTGCGTGTGGTCGAAACATTCTGTCCTATTAGCACATCAATCGGCTATCCTTGTTTTTCAATTGCCTACTGAACTTAAAAGTAACTGCGCATTCTGATGCGCGTAATGTTGTCTAGTTGCTATGAACGCGAATCCTCAATGCAAAGTCCTGGTTGTGAGTCGAATACATTCTAATTGATTCAGCCTGGAATCCAGTAGATATCATAAACTGCAGAACCTTGCTGAAAAGGCCTGGTTGCCATTTTTTTCTGGATGCAAAGATTTCCAATGGACCCGCCATTTGGTACTTTTTTTACGCCAGCCACTTTTCTTTTTGCATTTTCTTCCAAAGAGCGTCGTTATAGGGTTTCGAAAGAGCTCGATAAATCAAAAAGGTCGGCAAATTTTTTCAAATCGCCTTGTCAAAAAATTTCTGTGCCTTTTTTCTCAACACGGTGAAGGTTTTTTGTTCAACAAAAAAACTCAATCGAAGCATGACGGAAAGAGCGTTAATTCGACAATTATTCCCTTTTGTACAATTATTTTCCAGAGAAACGACTCAATTTAAAAATCGAGAACATTAAAACCAGTTTTCTGGTTCTATCCAATATCATTTTGTTTTGTGACTTTTTCATGTTTTGAATCTTTCATCCATTGATAGTCAAACTACAATTTGAACAAATAAAATATGGTGCTTTAAAACCGGTTACTCAATTATATTACATACAATAAACTGCTTAACAACCAAAATTCAATTGTTGGTAATATATATTTTTTGAAAGTTTTACACACAACAAACTCAAACCATTTTGCATTATTGAGCGTTTTTTAAATCGCTGTTTTTTAAAGTCATCACGACGAAAAGTGTATTCAGTATTTCTGTTCAATATTTTCATGCTCACACACAGTTATTGACTTTCTGATCAAAATTTTGGTTTCTTCGAGGGAACCGAAGCGGATTTAGGCGCTGGAATGAGCGTGTTGAAATCATTTGTCATCCTTTCGTAAATTTCATTGTCCGTACTTTCCTCGTCGTCCGCTTCCGGTTCATTATCACCGTCCCCACCCATTTCAGATTTCTTAATCTCGCGGGGGGCTTTTTTGCGCGCCTTTTCCAGCATCCGAATGTCTTTGTAGTCGCTGACTTGGATGTGGAATACTTCTTGTCCGTCGAAGTACCGGTCGTTGATTAGATCAACCAGGTGGTTGAATTTGTGCGGCAGATTCTCAATTTTGTTATCAAGGGTACGTCGCTCGTCGATCTCCTTGCGGTGCTCTGAATAAAAATTAGCAGTGCGGTTAATTACATAGTTTTTGTCTTGCGTGAAGTTTTAGTTATCGCATGCATATGGTAGCTTTTGGGTGTTCCTATTATACCTTTCTTTTAGTTTTACAGGAGTATGAAAAGAACGGCTTTTTTCGAATTTTTTTATTTTCCTGTTTTGCACGTCAAGGTGATAAGTAAATAACGCATTTCGAAAAACTGTATCAACAAGTATACTCTATCCCACTGGGAGATCTAAAAATTACATAACGAGGGTTTTGTCAATCGTAAGTGGACTCCGCAACAGGCTGAAAACAGATTTGTCGCATAATCCGCAAGCTTGCTACTTTTTTTTAACCTTCTTTGCTGTTCTGGATTCAACAAAGTCCACAAACAAACGATAATACTTGTGCATAGGAAAATTACACTGTCGTGGAATTCGTAACTGTTGGCGGAATTCTAAAGTTGCAAGCGGAATCCGCGGTTTGTAAGCGGATTCTGCATACATTTGCAAAATACTTTTAAAGGTTTGCGGAGTTCTCTTACATATGCGGATTTTGCTAACACTTTGCGGAATCCGTTTAAATTCTCTGAATCCGGAGCAACCAGTAACCTATACTTGTTGCGGATCCGCGACAAAATTAATGTGCCGACAAAATTTACGTTACAGGTATTTGTGCGCGGAATCCACGGAAAATATGTCAGTGGAATCCACTTACACTTTGGAACCTGTTTCAAATTTTTTCTCTTGATTCCAGTGACCTAAAGGCACCACATGGTGCTCCTATCCAGTGCCTCGTAATGTAAATGCTTCTTTCGAAACAAAGAAATGACACAATTTTAATAAGTGTCTTTGTGTACTTAATAAAAAACAAAAAATTGCGCTAAAAAAGAGTTGCCGGTTTCTAAACGAGCAGTACAGAAAATCTGGACCACGACCGTTTCTAAACACAAAGAAAAAAGGTTTGATTTTTTTTGAGCTGGCAAAAAATATTAAAATAGTCTTTTTTTCATGTTCGCGCCGGAAAACCGCTAACTCGAGCTTCAAAAAATTCTTTTGAATGCTGAAAAATTCATGATTTATCCCAACAAAATTTTTTAGCTTTCTGTTCTCAAATTTTTTAAAACAAATTTTCACAGCATTTTGAAAAGTGATTTTATTTTTTTATTGATCGAATCACTTTTGAAAGGTCATATAAATCATATTTACAACAAAAGCTAAAAAAAAAAAGAAAAGAAGCTGAATTATATCCAAGTTCTCGCTGCACTGAAATTGACAGTTTTGATCGAAAAAAATGTGTATGCACACATCAACCAGACCTGAAACATAGGAGCGTAGCTAACAAACAAGTTAAAATTGTCAATGAACTCAGTAGCGGATTTAAGTGAGGGCGGAGAGCAAATCTTCCTCCCCGGGAATTCGACTACCTGACCACCCAGAGGTCCCTTTAAAAATTATTCCAGGAAATCTTTTTTTTGCTGACCGGCCCTAAAATTTGCTCAAAATCTTCAAAAAATTGCCTTGAAATTTTTTTGCCCATTTGTTCAGGTATTTACTTGTGGCATAGAATGTTTTGTCAAAAAAGGGTCTTAATCGTGATTTGGGAGAGTTCGGAGTATCATTTTGGCCGATTTTAAAATGTCGACAAAATTTTAAGTTTTTTTTATTCCGCTAGAAAATCTGAAAATTAAAATCCACGTTTGAACTTGAAAGTCATTCACCCATTTTGTGCCATTTCCGCTTCTTAAATTGGAGAGCCTAATGTGATTTCCTTTTAGCAATTGATTTTGAATTGAATTTTAAAATAAATCGAATGTCAAGCCTCCAAAAGACATTTAAGAGTGATCAAATTTAAAGACTTTTCATGAAAAAAAAACATCACGAACTGCACAAGTGTCTTAACTACGTTCATTGACACTTAAAAATAGTAAAATTGTAAGGTAAATGTGTACTCATGTCGACGACAGTCTTCTTGGCCGATCCCGCCTGCTTCTCCGCCCAATACTTCATTCGTCCTCCGAGGAACGACAGGATCTCGTACTCGTTCGACTTCTCCGCGAGACCTAAAAACACACCAATGCTGCATTACCACGTGAAGAAGATAATTTACCCGGGTCGAGGTTGTTCATCCGTAGAAAAGCGCACAAAATTTAGTTTTTTTGTTGCAATTTCGTTCATTTTTTCACGGATGATTTTGAAAGAAATGAGCGTTAGAGTTTCAGACTTGAAGTTCAAAGTTTTCCTTAAGTTAACAATAGATAAATTGCCACACTTTTGGTTTTGAATACTTACCGCTGACATATACAAGAACTTTTTAAACTTGTTTGGGTAAAAAAATTTTGTTTGCCATTAAGAAGGATGTCTTCTTAATTTGATACTTCTGAACTTTACCGAATCTTCCACAGCTAGTGGAAATAAAGATTTTTTCTAGAGCACATCCATAATAAATAAAAGCAATCGGACTTCCTTTCATGAGAGTATTTTGTAGAAAAAAATCTAGAATATTCTGAATCGCTTCACACTTACCTTCGTTGACGTCACCGACAGACGCGTCTAGAATGACGACGAATATGTTCATTGTAATGAGCATCATGCAGTTCGAGTAACTCATGAAGAAAATGGCCCCAAGAGTCTCGTCTATTTGGATCAGTTCCTCGAATGAGAACTTTCCCAGTAGCATGTTGAACAGAGACTGCTGAGTCTGGAAGGGGGTGGCATATCGCACGAGGAAACTGCCAAAGAACATGTACGCCATCGTCACAAAACCTGAGGCAAAAATATAACAATGCATTAAAACGAGTCGGTAGTATTTAAAAGTGGTAGTAATTTGAAAAAGAGAATGGCTCACTTTTGACCAGCGACCCTTAACCCGCATTGGAGTTCCATGAATAAAAATCGATTATAATTGAGTTTCCTAGTCAGTGTCCACAAAAGTGAAAACAAATCCATTATAATCAATTAAAAATGGATTATAGAATTAGTATTTTTCGAGGCAACAAAATCCTTTTTTCATCCATTATAATAGCTTTTTTTCTCTTTTGTGGACACTGACAATGAAACTAAATTATAATCGATTTCTTTCCACTTTAATGAGATGCGAATTTCAACACACATAAAGTCTTTTTTACATTTTAAACTAAAGTTGGTTACGTTGGTTACTTGTTGTTCAATTTAATTTTTTTCTGCCTAACTTTGATGTTACTTATATTTTTTTATGTTACTCAAAAACTGAATTTCGTTCCTTTCAATAATTTTGTTAAATTACTAGAAACTTGGGGGGGGGGCGGTAAAGTTGGAGCTGGACCCTCCATTACCCCCCTAGCGTTTTTCCGTTTACACTTAACCCGGGGTTCAGGGGGGGTGTGGGTTCAGGTGAGGGTGTTCAGGTGGGGGGCAGAGGTGTTCAGTGGGGGGGGGGGGGGGGGAGCAAAGGGGCAAACATAAGGGGGATCGAAGGGGAGCAAAGGGGCAAACGTTAGGGGGGGAGAGCTTAACGGAATCTTTTTTCAATTTGAGTTTAGGTTTAGAAATGGATTAGGCCGTACACTCGCTTAGCAAAGTATCCGCATTTGATGAATGCAGAAATTCTTGCAAATTTTTGCACGACGCGCAAAACAAAAATAAAGTGGAAATCAATTTTAATGTGATTTCCTAATTATTATTAAATCCATTATAATGGATTCCAAATGAATTATAATGCATTTTGTTTTGGCGAGATAAAATGGATTTAAATACATTTTCAGTCCAATTTGTTGCCTGAACGTAACATGGGAATCGATTAAGTTTACAACATTTTAGACCACGAAAATCCATTATAATCGATTTATTTTCACTTTTTTAAATGCGGGAAAATACTGGAGCAGAGTCTATTGTTTGATTCGGGACAGTGGATTGATACTTCCTTGAAAGATATTTTTTGATTTTTTAATCATTCTTCCTGCTATTAAACAAAAAACTAAGTTTTTTTGAACTCGTACATTTAATTGTTATCAATTTTAATTGACTTCATGAGACCGAAATTGAAAAAAGCATTTGTTCGGTGAATAACAAAAATATATACATAATGAAAGTATGCTAACAAAAGTAGTATACTAAAAAAAACGCCCCCCCCCCCCCCCCAAAAAAAAAAAATAAGTGAAAACAAGGATAACCGGCTAGTGTGCAAGCTGCGCACAATGTTCCGACCATAGTCTTACAAAATACAAAAAAAAAATTCAAACTAGTCTCGTTTTGCCTGCGTGGTGTAATCAAAAGATCTGAACAAAAAATTAGAAATTAGGCATATTCGAGAGTCATAGTAAAATAGGCAATTTTGAAAACAGTTTTTGCATAATAAGGCAATCAAAACAAAAAGCTTCATAAAAAATTTATAAAAAACCAAAAACTTCAAACATTTTTTTGGTTCCCAGAGTTTTTGATTCCCAAATTGGCGTTAAAAAACCCACAAAAATTTTTACACAAAGAAAATTAAAATTAGCACAAATAATCCATTAAAAATGTCTAAACTAAAGCGCAAATAAGCCTGCTAGCTTGCTTAATTTGCTCGAAAAAAGACCAAAAATCAAAAAATTTAAAAGGGGTTTCTCTCAAAACTGTTTGCAAAATTTTTGAATATGATTTGAATCACAACTGAAAGGGCTCTAATATGACATATTACTCGACCCATACTGGTAATTATTTATAGTACTTGATTCTTAGTAGAAAACAAAAAAGAGAAAAATAAGTACAGCTGTTTACTGTGCCAATAGCACAAGAAGATTCGACCATTTTTCAAGTAGGTGTCATTTTTTCTCTGTGGGGTGTGATAAATAGATGTGAACGAAATGAAAAAAAGAAATTGGGCATATTTGACAGTCATGGTTAAATAGGCCTATTAAAAACAATTTTTGTAGTGAAAGTCTATAAATAACGAAAAAAAAATTGTGAAAAAAATTTTTTTTTCACATTTTTTTTCTATTTTTTTTTGAAGAATTTTTCAAATTTTTGAAATATTTGATTCCCAAAATGGCGTTAAAAAACTCCAAAAATAAATTTTGTTCGAGTAAAATGAAGTTTTCATGGCGTAAATAAGTTATAATAAACCTGCACACTGACCTTATTAGCTCGACATTAGACCAAAAAACAAAATTTCAAACCAATTTTTCTCGACACAGAAAAAAATTTTCAAAATTTTAAAATGTCGTTGAAATCACGACTAAAATGACTCTAATATGATATATAACTCGACTCATTCCGATGATTTATTGTGGTACCTAATTTTGTATGGGAAGAAAAACTAAAACACACAAATACAAAGTTCCGCCACACAGTGGTTGGAACAACGAAACTGATTTCTCTTTAAGAAGTTTAGTAAATTGCTCGTTTATAAGGCTAGTCGTAAAACGTTTAAAAGTGGCATGAATGTTTAAAAGAAGTAGAATTTTTTAAAACAGTATAGCGATGAATTCTTTTCAAAAAATTACTTTCTACGAGAACTACCAGCTATTTTCAACCAACAACTTTCAAATTTTCAGAGAAGTCAGTTTTGTTTTACCTTATTTTTGGTTTTTTGGTGGGCGTCTCATATAGCATGCTCCCAGTACGTGTATTTAGTTGCAATTTACCCAACACATGAAAAAACTCAATATTTGTTCACCTAAATTATGACAAATGTACACCTCAATTTTGAAAAAAAAAAGTGAGCAATATATAAGTTGACTGACCAGCCTGCAGGAAGACGAACATGACTGCGAACGAGATCAAGTCAGTGCGACAGGAGACCAGGACGTCTCTGAACATGGAGATCTTCTTGTTGAAGTTCAAGATCTTCAGGAATCGGATGGTCGACACGAAACAGATGGACGCCAGGATGATCAAATAGACCTGCACAGAAACAACTACTTTAACTTTATCGTTTATATTTTTTGTTTTGACTGATTTTGTATTTATCGAATAATGATAATAAACATTTTAAGAAGTAAATAATCATTGTTTGATTCTTTCGTTTGGGCAAGAAGACATGGTTCAAGCTTAAGCGGGCTCTCAGAGCTCGAGATATTGAAAAAATTATATGAAGAATGAGCTTTTCAATAAACACTTGCATTAGACTTTTTTCTTCAACTTTTTGGTTTAAGTTTTTTTTTTCGTTCATGCTTAACTTAAATTTGCGCGTTGCCCGTCTTTGACACTTACCTTTTAAGCTTTTCGTTCTAAAGTAATAACACGACAATTTGGAATACAATTTGAAACGGTTTCTGAGTCAGATTAATTCGCCGCTCACTTTTTATTGAAAAAAAAAACTAAATTGCGCGTTAGTTCCCTAAAGTGGCACATTTCAAACTCTATACAAAAAAGGTCGCAGCTCAAGCGACTCAAGTCACGACTCGAAATAATCTACAATATAAGAAGCTAGATATTATAACATTTAGCTCTATGATTGAACAATGTCTACAAGGGACTTATTAAAAATAGTTTTCTGGGTCTTCTGACAGGAGGGATACCCTCCTTTTCGAGACTCACCAGAGACAGCGTCACAATGTAGTTGAGGTTCACAAACTTGCGACCTCCGACCAGCGATACTCTGGACATGGCACTCTCAGTCTCAGTGTAGCGGTAGATGAAGAGGACAATCGCCAGCACTCCCAGGATGTCCACCGTGAAGTCGATCACGTTCCAGGACTTCTTGAAGAACGCCTTCCTCTGTTTGTAGATTTTTCGCCCGTCTCGAAAAATGAAGGCGACCAGGAAGATGCCAAGGCCAACTTGGACTGCGATCTAAAAAATGTTGTAATATTATGGTTTATGTTGATAATTATCATTGGAATCCTTTAATAAGCTTACAAAAAAAACCAAATCGAACAATTCTTGAATCAATGCTGAAAAATTATCTCAATTATACAAAATTTTTCTCATTTCGTTTTCTCATAAGAAGCTGGTTTCTGATAACTTTATTCAGAAGACACGAGGCAACCTACACGACTGTTAGAGCTTTGGAGACAAAAATGCGGCATTTTTTTATATTAAAGATGAGCTTATAGATTTTATGATGAAGATGAAAAATACGTATCATATACTTGCATATTATAGAAAAAAAACGCTTGTCATACCATCTTCATGCAATTTCTGCACTTTTTGAAATTGTACTATTTTGTATGAAAAGCATTTTTAAATACTATGGTTTTGCATGAGAACCAGTTTTGGTCAACCCGAGACATTAAATCCGACTAATTCTTACTAACTTCCCGATTGTGACAAAAACGTTTGAAACAATTCACTATGAAAAGCAATCAACTCAGAAAAATTCGCTTTGAAATGCATTAGGTCTTACAAGTTTTCATTCACAACCCTTTTTTGTTTGCACAAAACACTATTTCAATTGTCTCGGCTCGCAGCCTATTTTTTTAAACCAAAAACTGCTATTTTCGTCGTTTTTAGATTTGTATATGATTATGCTTGTTGAAAATTTTACAGGTATCACGCGATATCACAAATATACAATAACTTGCGCTTTGAAAACAACAATTGATTAAATTTTTTTGCGATCGAAAGCACATTTTTTTGTTTTTTTTCTTTCTACCTGGTAGGGTGCGGTGGGTCCGTGGTACTGTATGAGTCGGAGGGGGTCACAGTAGTAGTAGGAGAACACCCCGGCTGAGGCCCTGAACTCAGACACCATAGTGACCACAGCGAACAGATTGTAAGTGGGCGAGTAGATGGAGAATTCGTGCAGGATCGCCCGAGTGTAGAAGTCGATAAACTTCTCATTCTTCAGATTCTTAAATTTACAAAAAAACTTCTATAAAATTGTTCAAAAAAATTTCAAATGCAAATGCAAAAAGTAATGAAAAAAAAGAAGGTAGATCGTACGTAACTTTTTTGCTGCTCACTGAATTATGAATTAAAAGTTAGCGTTTTTATCTCAAGAGGTTCAGGTGCAAATAAAAGTTTTCAATGCAACCATTAAACTAAGTTTAGTTGGTCAGCTCACATTTTTGAGTACTCCTGAAATATTATTAGATAGTTTTCTTCTTTTTTTGCACAATAACCGTTTTAACGATCCATGCTTTTGAAATTCATAAATCATTTCAAAATTGTCCAATAAGCTTACCAGATGCTTTTAGAGGCTTATGAACAACAAAAATTCTTGAAAAATACTCAAGAGTAGCAATAAACTCAACGACTTTTTTTTATTATTTATGGTTGAGACATGTACGTTGAGTTTGTTGAGAGAGTCCTGTTTGTTTCCATCCAGTCTGACCAGAAATCCCCCTCCCGGGTAGGTGGCCGACTGACCCCAGAACGGATGGCCATCTATCTCCTCTGCATCAATGTACCTATATGCACACACGCAGATTTGTAACTAGATGTCAGCTAACTATCATGCACAAACCCTAATTTGTAATTAGGGTTTTGCGTATATCTATGCACACACCCTAGTTAGGGGTCAGCACACTATAGTATTTAAAACACAAGTAGCGCATCTAAAGTTGCAGATATTTATTTGAAACTTTGTAGAATATGTTGCACTGAAATGCGTAATATTCAGAATTTCAACAATTGGATTTCAACCAAAACCTTACTGGTTTCTCTGCGAAATTGACGATGCAACCGTTTACGCAGAAAAAATTTTTGCAACATGTTCTTTTAATTGAGTCAATGACTTTACAATTAGTTAAGCGTTTTTTGAGAACAATCGAAATTTAATAATTTTTATTTGAAGTTTTCTAAGTTCATAATAGTTTTTCTACAAAAAATGAGGCGTAGCTGCTTTTGCAGGGATGATTCCCACAATCTGTTCCTGGGATTCAACCCGTAACCGCGGAGTGATTTAGGCGCGGAAGATTCTCATAGCATGGTTTTGTTGAACTCTAAATCTCAGATAATAGGATAATTTTCAAGAACAGTTGTAAAATTTAGCAAAATTGCAACAACAGCGAAAATTTCAGAAATTGGACTTTTCTCCAGAACATGAGCAATAATCAATCAAAAACTAAACTATCGTCGCTTCTGCAGTACAACCTCATGCGGGAGAAAGCCATAACCTGGCGTTGCGGTTGAAATTAATGAGACAAATCTGAGAATTGGCAGGGTAATTTTCAATAAGTTTCCAAAAAACGGTCAAAGTTAAAAAAAATTTTGACTTTTGCAAAAATCATAAAATTTGTTTCTACAAAAATTAGGGCGTAAGCGCTTATGCAAGGAATGTTCCCACAACCTGGTTATTCGATTGAACCCTTAATCTGAGATTTGAAAGGGTAGCTCCGAGAAAAGTCAAAATGTTTCCAAAAAACAATCAAAGTGTCAAAAAACTTGCTGTTTTCAAAAGCAATACGTTTAAAATCATTTTTGTAGCCGTTTGTGCAAAAAGGTTTTCACAGCTGTTAATTTGATTAAAACTTGTTATCAGATTGGAGGGCCATAAAATTTTGAAGGCCATAGAAACTTCAAAGGCCATAAAAATTTCTATTAAAAATTGGAGCGTAGAAATTTTCCTAAAAATTTCGTTCGATTGAATCTTTGGTCTCAGATTCGCAAGGTAGTTTTGGCAAACATTAACTAAATTTCGAAATGCGTCAAAAAATTTCCCACGGAAGTTTTTTAAGTCCGTAAAAAATGGGACATGGTAAAAAGAGACTAGCGGAAAAAGCAGACACATAGGGAAGTATTTGGTATGCCCAATTTTCTTTTTTTTTGAAAACCGGTAAAAATTGAGGAAGTCTAGGACATTCGCGAACAGATAAAAATGTTTTCCAAAGCGTCTCAAAAATCATAATAACAAAAAAAAATACCATACCTTTTCATAATACCTGTTTTTGTCTAAAAGGAATTTTTGAATTCGTTTTAATTTTTCATACACTGAGCTTGTTTTCAGAATAAAAAATTAGAATTTATTAGCCCAGATTTTGGTCAAAATTAGAACTTAGTAGCCGAGATTTTGGTTATTTTTCTCATAACCAATAAGAATTACATCGCCGTGCGTAAATTTACCAAGTAATTGGTTCAAATTTTTATGTGTTCACATTTTAGCTATAAAGCAGATGAGTAGAGCTGTAATCATATTGAAAATCACGATTATTTTAAATCACGATTATTTCATTTTTAGAGATTTTTCCGAATTAGATCTTGAATCGAACTCTGACGTCAAAATAAACAGCACTTAAGTCTTTTCACAGTGAAGTTACTTAAGCCCTATAGTTATTATCAATATTATCACTTAAAATTGTTTAAATTAGTTGATTAAAAAGGATAGTGCCAACAATTTGATAAGAATTTTAAATGTAGACAATTTTTTTAATCAGATTGAAATTTACCTGTATTCTTCTCTGAGTATATGGTAGGGGTTGTTGGCATCAAATCTCACCCAGCCGGGTCCATACCTCCCCCTGTCCTCGAATTCGGCCGCGAAGGGGGGATTGCACTCCCGCGATATGTTGTGTCTTCCGATCTTGTACGGCATGCAAAGATCTAGCAAACAAAACACAATGAATTTCACTAACAAAAAAAATGATTTCTTTTTGATGAGCAGAACAATTGATGAAAACTTTTGGAATAGACTGCCTCTTTTTGCTTGTCTATTCGATTTTGTTTATTTTTTGTTTAGAATTGGTTAAAACACTCGCTTTTTGGTCATAACCATAAACTTGGAAAGGGAAATGGCAAAATTACGTTGTCAGAAAGTTGTAAATTTGCCATTTCATTTTGTTTTCCTTTTTTTGTGTGAAATATACTCGAAAAGGGATCAGCGGTTGTTCTATTTTTCTATCTTTCTGAAACTGAAACAAATTGAAATTGTGTTCAGGAGAGCCCTCGCAACACTTGACGCAGCAAATACAAATCCAGCTCTCTTCCTCCTCCTCCTCCTTACCCCCCCCCCCATTCTAGCCCTAAAAACTATGGGAGTATACTGACGTTTCCTGATTCGGATCTGTCGGACGACGGAGTAGCCTATGACGAGGTTTATCTTGTCAGCGAAGTACTGGTACAGTCCCAGGGGTCTGTCCCCATTGTACCATTCATTCGAGTACATTTTGGGGGCAAAGTGGTCTATCAAGTAATCCCAGTAAGTGTCGATGTCGTACACCTGAGAGAAAGTTTGAACTCAATTACCGTAAAAAAAAAGAAACGATTAGAAGTATAAAAAGAAACAATTTACTGTAAGAATCATTTAGTATTGAAGCAGTACTACTCAATACAATGATCAAAAAGTATCAAATGATCAAAGAGGTAAAATGACTCACTTTGTTCAGTGAGCCGGTGAACATTTCGCTCTTGATCTGATCGTAGAGGTAAAATCCAGTTGCGTCTTTCTCCACATAGCAGACCGAGAAAAGGAGCCAGACGAACACCAGGTACATCGAGATCTCCCTCGCAACTCCAAACATCGCAATCTCCTTCTGTCGCACCTGGAAGTCGTTTCTGTTATACGGCCCAAAGCTACTCTTATTGTTAATTTGAAAATTGGATCGTATTTTTCAATTCTGATTGGTTGAAATTATTTTCAGCACAAAAAAAATCAGAATTTTGCACTAAAAACTAAGCTCAATAAATAATTTGATAATTTTGGGCCAAAATAATCCCAAAAAGACCCGTAATTCTTAAGCAGGGGCGTAAGAGCGGTTCTCCGTGAAGATCTCAACATAGCTCGAATTGTGGTCTTTTTTGTGGATAAAATCGTCGTAATCTAATCTAAAAAAAATTGGCAAGGAAGTGGCTTGTTCATCTTTATTTTCACCTGATTTTTTTATTTGGCAACTGTTATGCGCATATTTTCATAGCAGAAAAAAAATAGCCATGATGAAATTTTCTAACAAAATTGGATGACTAGAATTTTAAATCTATTTTCTCAGACAAAAAAGAGCAAAACATGACCTCAAATAATGAACAGCAGCTGACTCAGTAAGCCGCCAAGCATTCTATAAGAATTCTTTTTTCTTTCAAATCCACGCATTTTTCGATAAAAACTTGCCCTTAAATCTCAATTCCATCAAGTTTTAATCAAAATTTTCTCCTCAGAGAAAAGCGACACCTCAAGAGCAATAATTCGAGCTGCTCGTAAGAAATTGCAATTCTAGTTCAATTGTCGCTTAAGTAACTTACAGATGAGGGCTGGGTAGTGTTGAAAAGGGTGAAACAATAGTCGTCTAATTGTTAATTCCAATATAAGAGATAGTCAACTTAATCTTACAAAGTTAGCATAGAGAGTGGTTGAGAACAGAATCCAAGGGTGACAGACTGTTCCAAGGACAAACACCTGCTAATCAATTAGTCTAGCACCGAGAGTGGACATTTGATTGACAGCTTCCGAAATGAACTAAATTACTCAATACAACAGTAGCAATAGCGTATGCCTCGAGATTCCTTAGTTCTGAGAAGAAGAATACTCCGTAAATACACTAGAACTATTAGCGATCAAACATTTTAAATGTTATTTATAAGGAAAAAAGCTTTACCGTCATCACAGACCACCAAGCTTTAATCAGCACTCTAAACGCCTATCAGAGATCACAGACTAAACTAGAACTATTAGCGATCAAATATTTTAAATATTATTTATAAGGAAAAAAGCTTTACCGTCATCACAGACCACCAAGCTTTAATCAGCAATCTAAACGCCGGTCAGAGATCAAAGACTAACCACAGCAGGCTCAATTGGTGTGTTGATAGGTTAATCCACTTTAACTTTGACATAAAATCCTTGGCGGGAACAAAAATGGGACTGATGGACTATATGTCCAGTAGTCCGGTAGGATTAGCACTACCATCCCCCCGCGCAGTGAGTACAATGAGCAATTTGTTGTGGCGCCAATTAACTCTTTCATCTCCAATCTTGAATTGATTAAAAACCTCATACTCAATAAGCTAGCCAATTAGAATCGACCACCGAATCAACTGATCAAAAAAGACGCGGAAAAAGAAAGGAAAATAACAGCACAATAGAAACATCTTTGCATTTCAAACATTCCAATTATATTGAGAGCGGTCATTCCATTCAAAACAAAATTAGTCACTTGAACAATCTCACACTCAAAAACCGGCTGACCACAAAATCAAAGCAACTAAAACAATTGAACTTCCTTGATACAGCGGAAGAAAAGGCAAGAAAAATGAGACGGAGAAACCAAAACAAATGCTCTAAGGGAGGGTTTATCCCCGATAACCCAAGAACTGGTGTATTAACAAAAAGCAACCACAAACACCACGAACAATCATCCTCAAACTCAACTATTTTTAGCCCACAAAAAACATTCACGTGAAACAATAAAAAACATGAAAGTTCACAGATTCTCGAAAAATATTTTTGCGTACAGTCCACCAAATTCCGAGATTCGAGATGACGAAAAGAAAACCAGGGTGAGAAAACCGCAGATGGATATCTTACCCGGCAGGACCGAGAGCCCGAATTACAAACAAATTTCAACGTGAACACAAACAGAGACACGAAAAACAGATTAAGAAACCCAAACAACTACAATTGAACCCAAGAAACAGAAGAACGACGTTCAATCCCAAACAGAGCCGACGGTGGAAGTCAATGAGCATTAAGAGTACTGCGTAAGCAGTGTCGACCCAGAGCAACAGTGTACAGAGGAAACATCGTCAAATGAAGCACTGCCAACGATAACGGGACACACAAAACAACTTGAAGCCAGCCACAAACAATGAGTAGAAAGCGTGATAGCAACGACGGACCAAGGAACAGCAACAGAAGCGAAAGAGGACACGCCAATGTACCAGAAAAACCTTCAACATATAATTAGGGTAAAATTCATAGCCGCAGGCACAAGACCAAAATCTAACACCAATAGTGAATTTTCATCAAAAACTAGACTGGGAGGCACTAAAATACGCCCATAGAGACTATTGCTGTAAAACTAGAAGCCAGTTCCAGGTCAAAGACGATTGTCTCCTGATAGATGACCGCATCATCCTACCCCAACAGCTACGCCAGACTAAACTTGACAGCTTACACTTGACGCACCCTGGAACTGCGGCAATGCTAGACCTGTGCGAAAACATTTGATCTCCTCACCTTCTACGAATCCTTGTGTAAATGGACCAAAAATGATGACAGTGCACAAAACAATGTAAAAATTGAAATTCAGTTTCAATAAAATAACAATTATTCCAAATGAAGCCAGTTGTCAAAATAGGAATAGTTTGAACCCCTACCAGACAAACTAATTACAGACGCGTACATTTTAATTGCGGTAGATAAGTGGTAAAACTTTCTAAAGGAAAAATTAGTTACAAATACCACTGAAGATATCGCAATAAAATTTCTGCAAAAAAACATATCAAATAATGGGGTCCCAAAAAATTAAGATTCGATCAAGCTCAACCATTTAGAATTAAAAATTTCCCCATTTTTTGCAATTTAAACAACATTAAACTCTTTTTCGCTCCGGTAGACGACCATAGATCAATAAGGGATGTCGAACGCCTAATACAAACACTAATTGTAGATTAGGGTTCATGCGAATAGACAGAATTTTGTCCCCGTTTAAACTGGCAAGGATGTCGACGAAAAAACAAAAACACCAAAACCAACTTCACACAAAAACCAAACACACGATTTTTAAATACAGCAACAACTACTTCACCAAACAACTTAAACAGATAAAACTCAAAAAACGCTTGCTTAGATCGAATAAACCTGATGGATTCTCCGCTCTCGCCAGAGATAATGTATGACCTATAATGCTGGTCCGAAAGCAAAGTCAGAATCAAAATACGCTCGATCGACAAACTGCCAGAAACATCAAACGTAACCCGGAAGACCCGGAAAGCACACAAACACAAAGTAGTACAGGTGTGAGATGTGAGACCCAGATATTCACTAGCTACGTAACGGGAAGCTGTAAGCTTAAGATATAAAGGAACACAAAAAGGTGGTCTCTACCATTAAGAAACATAATCATTGATTAGCTAGAAAAACGGTAAGAATGGCCAAATGGGTTAAGATCCGAAAAGATTAGCCGAGAAAACTACAAAACAAAAGACGGGAAAACGTTAACATACAACCTACACACGGCTTGGGTGCTTTTTTCTCAAGCCCACAAATCTATGGACCATGTAGATTTTCACGACTAAGTGACTATGCTGCATAAAACTCTGCTAGAAAACCGGTTCCTTGTTTACGCTTTTTAGACATCGAACAGCCAAACGCACTCCTACATTCAATGTTCACAGAAGACGAAAAGACTGGGCTCCCTCTCCCAAACGGTTAGATCTAAAAAAAAACACCCCACCCCATACAACATCAGCGAAACCAAAAAAAAATCAACAAAGACGCGACTAGCAACATTAACGAAGGCGCGGGGCAATTCAATCCCATTCAATAGTATAGAGACTCCAAAAAAATTTTCAAAAGCGTCACCGGAACAACAACAACAACAAACACAACACGGAAACAATTCGAGCATAAAAAATCTAACCCACAAAATGGGGTTCAAGAAAGACTCGCCAGTATTTGTTGCATGCATGAAATTTTTCGAGAAATCTAAACCTAAGACAAAATACGACATGACGTTTCAGATCTGGTGTCTCCATCAGAGAGCCCAAGGAGCCAACAAATGCATTTTATCACAAGAAATGAAACAAAGGACAAGGAAAAAAACGGTAACTGTCAAGATGAAATAAACACGACGGAGGAGCACGAGAAACATCAATAAGAAGAGGACAGAACAGCAAAAGAGAAGAAACAACCCGCGAAACAGAAGCAAAAAATAAGTGAAACAGTCTTACTGGCACTTTAAAACTCATGTCCCATTGGAACTCAAAATTCATTGTTAGTCCCACGGGGACATACGAAGTCATTTATTTTAAGAAGGAGGGCAACGTCATCCGACCGGATTGGCTTAAACATTATGATGTATTTATTTATATATGTATACCACTTTGCGGCCGAACATATGGCCTTGACCGAGATGTACAAATAGTATCGGTGAACATAACCGCTCAGACCATTAGAATACAGTTTTGAATTCAATTACCTTTTCAACGTGAAATAGCTAGTGAGCTATCGCGTCAATCCGTTCGTGTTTTTGAATGGATCATACATAGCGGTATGACACTAATATTTAGTGATAATCAAATGAAAGGCTCAAAATGTATCATATTTTTAAACATACTGCGGTCGAGGTAACAATTATCAGCCCCGAAGAATGGCCCAAAAAGTCATATCTACTTCAATAGGGCAACATTAGCCTTTCTCCTGAACGAGCTGAACAGCTTGTATGTTGTGTTTTTCCATCGTGGATAAACGTTCTGGAGTTAATTTTTGAAATAAAATAAATGTGACTTACTTCCCTCAGGAAACTCTTCCGTTTTCTTGTCAGCTGACCCGGCAGCAACGTAGTCTTAACTCTGTTCCTCTTGGCCCACCCCTCGTCCAGAAACTCCTCGTCGGGTAACTTGCCCACTATGATGTCACCCACCTCCTCGCCCGAGTAGAGGTGTTTGTCTTTGCCGTAGTCCGTCTCCAGTTTATCCAGCAATTTCAACTAAAAACAGAAACAGCGGCCGGTTGTGGTGAAAAAACACAGAAAATTTAGACAACCGCTGATTTTTTTTAAAAAAAAAAAACGTTTTTATTTTCGAAGTTTTTGAAATTTTGTCCAAATGGTTCTTCGCTCTAATTTAGTCTATAGCAAGCAAAAAAGACCGGCTTTTCTGGACACAGAGATAAATTTTGCGGATATTTTTGTTTTGTTTTTTGGAACCACGTCTTAAAGACCTTTGAAACCAGATTTTACTCGACCTACTGTGACGAGTACTTGTAATACCTCATCTAGCGAGATAAAAAGTAGAAAAAAGACAAATGATTAAAATAAAATTTTAAATTTTCACAGCCGTTTTCATAAATATTGTCAATTTAAATTTCTTATCAGTATTCTTGCCGTGGTTTTTAACTGAAATTTCGAAATTGCGCCCTGCATGCAATTTTTACCTCATCTTCTGTGAGTCCCTCGAAGTTTTCGTCCATGAGTTCCAATTGATCCTCATTTCTCCTCCCCCTTCTCTGGCAGAGGAGAGAAATAATCATGGCCAGAATCAGAATCTAAAAGTAGCATCCAAAGATCATTCCAGGCTTCTTACGAATAAAAGAGTCTGGACTATTTCTATTCATAATATTTTTCGATCGTCAGTCTTAATTGGAAAACACAATTTATCACATATGACGTGTTTGTTTTTGGAGAATCGTTCATGTTAAATTTGGATTATCAATTTGGACGACTTGTGTTTTAAAGTTCCAAACAACTGGAGGTGGTCGGATAATTGATAATCTATTAAGACTATCTATACAATATAAATTTTGCTCTAGTGTAATTTTTTTTACGACTATTGTTTGAGTTATTTGAGTTATACGCTGCTAGTGATCGCATAGATGAAAAAAGACTAGCTCGGAAGTGTGACCTTGAGTGGCTGCATGAGGAATATGGACATAGTCATGGACCCGATCATGGACACCAGCCACTTTGTGACGAGGGCACTGCCCCCGTTGAATGCGATCATGGCTGCGTAGAGGGTAATGACGACGGAGGTGGTGAGAAGGATTATGCAGACGAACAGCCAGTCGATGTAGATGAAAGAGGCAGGCAGCATCATTGGATGTCTTTTTCTGCCCTTCTCTAGAACAAACAAGATCAAGATCAGAATCCAGAGAGGATCAAAGTAAAGATGAATACAAGTCAAGGATCGAAGTTAAGAAAAAAGTATATTTGAACGTTGAACAAAAAAGGAACGAGTTATGATGATATTTCATAAACGCAAATTTGGAAATGCATTAATATTTTGTTATTTAGATTTATGATTAAGCGTACATAGTGCTGAAACACTTTTCGACTGAAACAATTTTGACCTTTTTGATCTATAAATTGACGTATCGAAGCCAAGTGCGATCATCCAGGTAGCATAAAATTCATAGAAATCTACACATGTGTTGTGATTTGCATTTTAGTATTTAGATTCGTTTGAAGGTCACTCTCTAATTGATACCTGCCTAACATATCTCACATAGTCCACTGGATTTTGTCATTCATATGAGGTATTTTATTTTAATAGACAACATAACTTAATTCAGCTTTTTTTATTTTAACTAGTTTTATTTACTAAACTTAGTCAGATTATTGCAACCATTCTTTATGGCGCTGTCGACTAACGGTTCGAACCTCAGCGGAATTCCATTCTCTTGGCCAAATCATACTGAAGAAACTCATGTCAATTGCTGCCAAGAGAAAGTTTTAGGAACACGTTTTTAAAGTTTTAAGAATCTGCTACTCAAACAACATCGAATGGCTCGGTTTTTTTTTATTTCAGACTCAGGATTAAAACCATTAGAAGGGAAAACTGACGCAAAGAAAATTTAGATAAACCTAAAAACATCTTTCAGTTAAGACTTTACTCTGGCTCCGTTGATCAAAACACGAGTCTTTTGCTTAACCTGTCAAAAATATGCCGGTCTTTAAGGCCCTTGTTAAACAAAAAGACTTTTTCTGTTGGGACGATTCAGAGTCGTTGCGTTTGAGAACTGACAGTCGGAATTTATAACCATTATATTTATAACAGGAAATAACCATTGCAAAATTTATATCAGAAATTAACCATTGCGAAAAAAAACTCAAGACAGACGCGTATCATAATGGGTTGGGAGCAAACTCAAAACAATTCCATAGGAACTGGCGGGTAACAAGAGCATTCGCGTCACAAATTTTTAATACACTCAAAACTAAATACTCAACGAACAAACTGGAACTGTTAGGCATAGTTTGCTCATCTGAAACTTTCAGAAATAATCTCTATGGCATAGCATACGAAGTTATTACAGAGCACAAGTAAAGATTTTCTAGTATCACCGTATAAAAGGAAACTCCTAAAAAAAGATAAAATTTCTTCAGATTTAGAAAAATTATCCTTAAGCAGACCGTTGAAAGATTTATTTCCCAAAAAATATCTTCGAGAAATTGGTCGCAGAGGTGATCACCTCTAAGGATGATAGAAATTATCACTACCCTAGATCTCAAATCTCTAATTATCGCTGAATATTCTGGAAAAAGAGTCCTCACCAGAAAATGAGCGACAGTAAAAAGCGGGGTAAATTCAGGGAGCACTTTCAATTTTGAAAAGTTCTGAAGCTTTTGTATCTATTACATTGTAAAAATTGTTTCCTTTTATCCATTGGTACTTAGTTAATTAGCTGTATAGTTTTTGTAGGTACCTGTGGTTAGTAATTATCAAAGTCAATTTGTAATTAGCGTTAGCCTGCACATAGCTTTAAGCTTTTCCTTTTGATGGTGCTTATAGGTTAATTTATTGTGCTTCATTTTGTAGATTTGATGCCTCGAAACTTTTTCCATCGCCATTGCCAGGGGGAAGGGGGAAATGGTTAGATACTGTATTCTTACTTTTTATTCATCAATCTATTTAAAAAAATTTCCAAGTCGAGGGAAGGTTGTGAGTTGCCTAACAAAACCCACTGGAATCTAACAAAACCTATTTATCCCCATTCTCCATTTTAACCCCCCTCACCAACGTTATATATATAACGTTTTTCGTTCCACCCCCCCCCCATTTTTTTTGCCGCGCCCACGTTCAGTAAAGGGGGGGGGGGTGGGGTTAAATTAAGATGGGGGGTAAACTAAGGAGGGGTAAGCTGGCTGGGGGAGGGGCGGGGGGGGGTTGGGGGTAAGCTGACGAAGGGTAAACTATGGGGGGGGGGTAAACTGGGTAAACTGGGGAAGGGTTTGCTAAAAAAAGGCGATGGAGTTTACGTAGTATAGAAAAAGTAGAGAAAATTTAAATGAACAAAATTATGTGAAAAAACAATTTTATGAAACGTAATACGTTGCAACTGCACGAAACAAGAAATGAGATAACTTTGAAAAAAGTTTGCAAAACTCATAATTTCTTCTCAAAAAATACGTTTTAATCGATTATATTCTATTATAATGGATTATAATGATTCAAAAATATTATGATTATAATTCATTGTCATTGGGTTATGATTGATTATAATGGATTATTTTGATATAAAAATACAAGGATTGTTATCCATTTTTGATAATTTCATTAGAAAATTCATTTTAAATTTGTTTTCTCCTTATATGGTGTTCACTCTAGCACTTTCGCCCCTCACACGTTTTGCCCTTCCTAAATTTAAGAGTACTTGTATAATGCCCCACATTTATTACAGAACTTTGCTTGTATTATATTGGAGGCGAAATATGTGAGGTCACTTTATAATGTCATGGAGAAATGTGTGTGGACCGGTTTATACAACTTTTTACCTCCCCATCCGAACAGACACTGTATGCAGCAGAACCACTTGGACCTTCGGACCCTCTCGTAACAGTCCAGGTCTAATTCCTCCTCATCTGTCTCGTACTCGCTCTCCTCACTCGACTCCGAGATTGACAGTTCTCCAAGGTCACAGGGGTCCACGGTGTCATCATTGTTATCTCGATTCACACTTACCACCAGTCGGCTCCTACTTCTCCCGGCGTCCTCATTGGAGGTGTCTTTTGGAACCTGAATAAAAATCAGGCCGACGTTGATTTTGATAGATGAGAACAAAAACACAAATAGAAAAAAAAAGCTGTTTTCGAAATATTTGTTGATAAAAACTATAAAAAGGCGAATGACAAGGATACGGTCTGATCCAGACTGAACTTATAATGGACAATTATGAGAGTCAGTATAGCAAACAAAGCAGAAGCACAGCACCAAATTAAATGAAAATGATTAGCCGAACTTTGAATCACAGTTTATTTCAGAAGTTGAATTATTTCAGACAATTAGGGTGTATTCTCATTATGGAAAGACCGAATGATAGAAAAACTTTTACCAATCAAAATTTTCAAACGTTCCAATTGGTTAAATGACTTTTGCATAAAACAGAAGTCATTATTAACAGAAAATGAATTTAAGCAGCACAAAAAAGTTTTAATTCTCATTTTTTTTTAAATTGGTTTCAAATTTTTTTCTAATAACTTTCGATTTCGCAATATTAGAAAATTCGTGTATCTGCTTATTTTCTAATCGGTTAACTTGGATTCTAATGGCCGTTGGTTTTCTTGAAGATTATCGCAACTTCTTTGATGTTTTTTACGACTCAATTCTGATTGGCTGAAAAAACTGAAAAATTTTCCAAAATTCGGTTCCTAATTTTTTGTTTTACCGTTTACCGTTTAGTTCGTTCATTTTTCTTTGTTTCGCCGATTATTAAGTTCACTAATTAGATCAGGCCCGTCTCCTTTGCGCACCGAGCGCCCATGGGTTTTAATCGATGGGTTTCCGAAACAAAAGCAATCCAATATAAACCATTACAGATGTAAAATTCAGACCACAAATATGATTATTTTGTCATTATAATCGAATACTTTTGAAATGAAAAACCATTAAAATTCATTGTGATTGATTATAACACACTTTCTTTACAGAACTAAATTCGATTATATTGCAGAAGTTTTGCAAATTTTGCAAGAAATTCTATGCCGTGTTTTTAAAGTCATACCGAGCAAAAAAGTAAAATTCAAATACGTTCAACACCCCCATTGCATTTTTCCACAACACTGCCCCCGCATATATTGACATAAAAACATAAAACTGTTAAAATTACACTGACATAAAAACAGGATTATAATCCATTTTTAATGGATTATAATAGGTTATTTTGTAACTTTTAGATTCTGACTATTATAAACGTTATTATAAACGAAAATGACATTATAAACGATTCTGGTCCTGTAGCGCTCGGTGCGGGTCATCCTATGAAGGCAATCTGTAATCAATTATAAAACCAAAATTTTCCGAAAAGGATTTTGGAACATTTTCTAGCCAGTTTATCAATCAGTTTGGATCTACTTAATAATTGCCCCCCCCCCCTTTAAGAATGGGGGGGGGGGGGGGGGGGCAATTGTTAAGTAGATTAAAATAACGCATTTTCGACCAATCAGAATGCAGTAAAATTATAATTCTCAATAGAAAGCTCAGTGATAGTTTACTGCTTTTATTAATAGGGGTGGCAATTCTTAAGTAGATGAGTCAGTTTTTATGAAGCGTTAAGGTGTTCGGTGTCATTTTTGCTTGGAGTACTTTTAACTATAGAAGAAAAACTAGTTCAAATCGAAGTAACTGAGATCAAAAAACGACGTATCTGAACGTTACCTCAGACCCGTCTCGTATGTGTACGCTCTTCGAGGATCCAACGCGAGAGGATGTCCCTGGCTGTTTGAGGGAACTCTTTGTTCCAGTACTTCCACTGTGCTCTGAATGACCGGACGACACCCTTTGTCCATCCCACGACTGAAACGACAAAAAATAGCTGCGAGTTCTTTTTATGAAGCGTTGTAAAGGTGTGCCATACATTTTTTTGAAGCTTTAGAATTCAACTGCTTTGAAATTTAATAACTGAGCTCTGATTTTAAAAAAAAATAGGTTTTTTGGTGGCTTTTCAATCAAATTCAGGCGGTTAATAGGTTATTCGATTTCGATTATTCGTACATATGGAACTCGATAATTATCGTAAAAAGCTCTATTCGATAGTCTGGATTGATCAAAAAAGTTTCACCTGGGTTTATTAGAAGCCTTAGAAAAACGTCGACGTATAAGCAACGTAAACTCAAAAACACTAAAAACTCATGACCAGGAGCGCAGTGTAATTTTTTAAGTTTCAGTTGAATCTGCAACAGATTGAAAATTGATTTGTCGCAAAGTCCGCAACACGGCTATTTTTCTTTTTCTCTAACTTTTTTGCTGTTTTAGATTCCAGTAACTAGAACACTGTATTGCTGAAAATTTGACCGAGTGTTAGAAAAAGCTAAATTTTTGTTATTTGATATTAATTATTTTACCAAAATTGTTCGAAAAAGATTTTGAAACATTATCTGGACATTTTGTACGTCGAGAACATTGTTTTCACCCCAGTATGTTTTCACCCCAGTGTTCAGCCAAACTCCATTTTCAATTAAATTTTATTTGGACACAAGCGAGGAAATGCCAAAAAGCTTTAAGCAGGCAAAACAAAAAAAATATGGAAAGATTAAAAATACACCTTGTACAAAAATATTTTTTGAGATTAGGAGTATTACGTTCTCACGTTTGCTCCACGACCGCTTGTAACTTTACTAAAACTAGCCATCAATAAAGCAGCTACAGTTTCTATCAAATTGCCAATGTCATTCAGCAAACAATTGTCCAAAAAAAAACAATTTAAATGTTCCTCATTGGAATATTCTACCTATTTATTAGGAGACTTAAGTCCTTGCATCTGCACTGCAGTCGCTTGGAAGTAAGCTAGTGGCGCAGCTACTGCTGAATTTATCAATTCTAATATTTTAAATCATATATTGTACTCCTACTGAGTAGTGTAATTTTTAAAACTTCAAAAAAGGACTTTTCGCTAACTATGCTTATGTAGGGGATCAACCGCATATTTAAAGAAGAAAAATACCACTCGCTCGTTCAATTGATTTCTCTATCTCAAATTTGGCTGGGCATTTTTCAAAAAATAAGTGAAAAAGATTCCAAAAATTGATCAAAACTTGAGTTTTGATTACACAGGTACTATTCAAGCACCAAATTAGTTTTAATGAACTATCAACCTCAAAATCAGCCGGTTAATTCTCGAAAAAAGAGTAACTTTTCAAAAAACGAGCAGACAGTCAAAATTTTAACGATTACAAAGGTCATATTTTTTTAAAATGCAGGGCAAAACCCCTTGCGCAGATAAGATTCGCATCACTGTTTTATTCTTTCGGCTAAACTTTAATCTCTGATTTGGCCAGTTAGTTTTTGAGAAAAGCCAAAAACTTTTAAAACATAACCAAAATGTCACAAAACGGACTTGTTTGAGGCCATAACTTTTTTTAACCGAAATTACTGGAAAGTCACTTGAGAAAAAAGAGATTCCCATGAATAGTTTTTTAAATTAAAATCTGAATGTCAGAATTCTGCATTTAAAAATTTGAAAAAAAAAATCAAAACAAAAATCCCCGTACTGGAACTTCCGAAGGCCGCAGAAATTGAGGTAAAGCATATTTTTAAGGCGGAATATGCAGGCACAAAGAGCAGAGCAGATTTTTCAATTAAAACTTTTTTTTGAAAATTTGTACTGTAGTTTTTGAGAGAAATTGAGTTTTTGAAGTCTCGAAAATTGAAGCGTCGCAAAAAAAATTTAAAAAAAGACCAAATCTTATACATTTTCATAAAATATTTTTTCTCAAACAGGACCTAACACTAGCAAAAAATAAAGCAGAAATATGTGACTTTAAATTGTTTATGCTTAAGTAAGCTTAAATTTGATTTAAAAAGAAATATACTAAAGGTGCCACCAAACGAGCCTTTTTATTTGTGATTTAGGTAAAAAAGAGAACGTTACAGTTTCCACTTTACATTGCTAGATCTTGAGGTCAATATTAGGACTCAAATGTAAAAAAACTACGGTTTTTTGTACAACCTAAAAAACTTTTAAGGCGTGTTGCTTTTCACCACTGATTTAGCCTTTAATAATTTTATTAAATTTATTTTTATACAAATATGAATTATAATTCAATATGAATTCTGGGCTTTTTTTCCTTTCCCCCATCTGTAAATTAAATTTTTTAAATTAACTTTTCAGGTTACAGCAACCAATTATTATAAAATTTGGCATATGAACTAGTTCGGCCATGACAAGCATATTTAGTCTCATACGTAACCTCTAAAACCGCTCATCGCATCATAAAATTGCTGCTTATGTGCGGTTGGGAGGGGGATTGAAAAAGAGCCGAATTCTGGATTTGCACTTGGCTTTTACTAACAGTAGATGTCTCCATGTTTTGAGTGAGACCCGAACGTGAGTCGCTGGAATTCTTTCGCTCTTTCGTCTCAACAGTGAGTCCGGCTGCTTTGAGGTACTTCGTCAGATCCTCCTTCTTTTTCTCTTCCCGTTTCCTTCGCTCCTCCTCTCGACGCTTCCGACGGCTTGAGTTCAACATTTCTTCTTCTGCGTCCAGGTCTGGAAAACAAAACAAAAACTCAAATTTTTGTGAAAAAGCGCAAAAAACTTTCCTCAATTTTGTGAGAGTGCTAAAGACTAAGTGTACAATGCCAAAAAAATCAGAGTTCTCAATATGATTCCAAAACTCAAAAACCTGATGTGATAACGATCAGTTTTACAGTAGAAATTGTGACGGAAACAAAATACATTTGGAATATCCTAATTAGATGGGGAGCCAATTTTTTTTTATTAGAACCCAACATTGTGAACCAATCTTTTACATCTAAAAATTGCAGATTCCTCAACGCGCATATCTGCTGATCCAATAACTTTGCCCTTCATTTTAAAAGAAAAAAGGGGAGATGATCAGGGGCGGACCTTTTTGTCGACCTTTTTTTATAAAGGTCGACCAAATTGACTTTTTGAGCTCTCCCAAAGCACTAAAAATTCCCTGTTTTTTGCCTAATTTTCTGCGCCGCAGGCAAAACTTTGAAAAGATTGGCCAAAAAAGGCGTTTTTAAGCACTTTTTGGAAAATTTTGACCCCCCCCTAAATCCGCTCCTGGAGATGATATCCAATGATAATGTATTCACCATCTAGCTCCTCTTCGTTCCCACTGGTAAATGGTTTGGTTCTTCTGAACAATTGCACAACTAGGAGAGAAGCAGGCAACACCATCAGAGAAGACATGAAACTCACGCCCAGCTGAAATTACGACAAATAATTGAATCTGCAATCAAACCAAATCAAACAAAAAAACTAATTCGACTCGATTTTAAAGCAGCTTGTCTTGATAGCTGTAGTAAACAGTTCAACGAAGAACCCAAACTTCTGATATTTACGTATTTGCTCTTATCAGCTCCCAATTTAGTCCACTTCAACGTAAAATTTATCCTTCATAAACTTTGTTTTGTTTTGGAAAGGAGGAGGAGAGGTAGGGGGGGGGGGGGGGGGGAGGGGTTGGTATTAACTTGGTCCTACCTCGGCGATGTTGAACTTGATGGGTCCGACCCAGACTGTGGATGAGTCATCGACACTCTGTTTGGTCTGGTAGTACACTGCGCTCACACAGAACTCGAGCAACAATACACACATCGCACACGAACACCTAACATCAAAGGGGGTCAGATTCTCAGAGGGGGGGGGGGGTGAAATAAGGGAGGGGCGGATGTCTCATATAGCATACATTTCTTTTATTATAATCCCATTGCGCAATTGATATTTAAAAAAAACTAAAATTTTGTAATTTTTTTCAAATTGACTTAAAAACTGAGTTTCCGATTTCGCCCAAAACACTATGGAGAACGTTTTTCGGTGCGAATTTTCCTCCTAAATTTAGTGTACATAGGCTGGATGTGATAAAATAGTGCCAAAGTGGGGATCTTTTGGGTACTTTAGGGGGAAGGGGTTTGGATATATCAATGACTGATCCATCAAACATCTCCGCTAATGTATCTATCAAAGGCTGCTAAAACTGCGCGGATTTTCTTCATTTTCCATTAAATATACATTAAACTTAATTAACTTTTTTGTTAAATTGTTTTCATGGTTCATGAATATGAAAGCGTAGTCCATTTCATGCGACAAAAGTATAGAGTAAGTTCCGTTTTACTTTAGAGGTGATCTGAGCAGGGGCGGATCTAGGATTTTCTCGAGGTGGGGGGGGGGGGGGGGGGGGGGCGGATTTTCAAAAAAGCTTCGAAAATTTTGTCGACCTTTTTTTTTAGGTCGACCAAATTGATTTTCTGAGCTCTCCCAAATTACTATAAAGACCCCATTTTGACAAAACTTTAAGCGCTGCAGGCAAATTTTTGAAAAAACAGGCCAAAAAGGGCGTTTTTAAGTACCTTTTGGAAAATTTTGACCAAAAAATTGTGTTTTTTCGGCGCGCGCTCCCCCCTTCAAAATTACTATATTTTGGCTCCAAAGGCGCCTTAGAAAAATTTTAGGGTCAGTCAGCCAAAAAAAGGATATCTCAAAATAGTAAAAAGGGGGACCCTTTGGGTCGGCATGGGGTCGAATCGCTGAAATAAAAGCGTTCGCCCCCCTTCCCCCCTAAATCCGCCTCTGGATCTGAGTACAACTCAGTGGAGTAAAATAGCGTAACAATTGTTCAAAAATCTGTTCAATTTTCTACCTCTGGCAGCGCGTGAAATGACTCTCGACCGGTCGGGCGAAGATGGAGTAGTACAAGTGGCCATCATTCAGTTTCTCCCTTGTCTTAGAAGCAAACATGTAGCGAAACTTCTTCATGTTCTCTGGCTCCGTTCTCTCAATGGTCCGATCTATGGACCCGTCCTCGTGCACCAGCGACCACCACCGGTAGGCCATGAAGAAAGTCCTACAACATAAACAGTTGAGTTAAAGCGCTTTGGAGAAGTCGCAGGTTTTTTTTTGAAAGGAGAAAAAGTTAAAGAGACACAACTTTTTTTCACAGTCTTCCCAACCCTCTCCAATACCCCTCCCCTCCCCCTCCCCCTTTCCCTCCCCCTCTTCCCTCCCCACAAGAGCCGTTAGCTTGTCGAGGAATTTACCAAAAATCATTTACATAAGTTGCGAAAACAAATTACGCGCATCATACCAGACTATTGCCTTTTAATAAGTTAAAGTGATTTATTCTAAATTAAGATCTATTTAAGGCTTAGATAATTCCTTTAAAATGATTGGAATTAATTGAATCGAACTCATATACATACAAAACTTTAACGCAGAGGTGAAGCTGCGCTTCGCAAACACAGGCGATAAATTCAAAAAAGAGGGCTAAAGAGGCAAAACACAAGTGAAATAAATGAGTATAAAAAAATAAAAATACACATTATAAAAAATTGCTGAGGTTAGTAGTATCATGTTCTCACATCTGCTCTACGACTACTTGTAATTTTACTAACTCTAACCACCAATTAAACAGCTACAGTTTCTATCTAATCGCCAATGTTATGCAGCAAAAATTCGACAAAAAAAAAGAAACTATTTAAATGTTCCGGATTTGCATATCCGAACTTTTGACGAGGAGTCTCACGTCCTCGCAACTGCACCACGGTCCCTTGAACTTAAAATAATGGCCCAGTTAATGCTGGATCTACCTGTTCTGATATTTTAAATCATATATTGTTCTGATACGGATATGCGTAATTTTCGAAATTTTAAAAAAAATGGACTTTACACACACCCTAAGTAGGGGATTAACCGCTTCATTAAAGGAGAAATATACGCGCTTATTGATCCATTTGGTTATCATTTTGTGGTTTTCATTGTGTAGCATCGTCTAAAAAGTTGTGTTTTTTGTACGTGGTGTGATGAGCGAGGTATATAAACGCGCAGAAAGTTTTTTGTATTAGGCATGATCGCGAAGAGTTATTTTTTATTACCTTTTTTGGCAAGCAAGCTCTAAATTAAGCTTCTGAAATTAATTTTCTTCTTAATAAAATCAAGTCTTTTTAGCCTAAAAATCATCTTTCATATAACGAACATTTCTTGATCGCTTTACTTGCTCAAATTTGGAAAAAACGCAAAAAAGTGTTTTTTTTTCGACAATTAGAAATTTTGTAAAATATTCGAATCACAACTGAAAGGGCTTCAAGATTCGAAAGGGCTTCAAAATATATCACTCAACCCATTCCGATGGAACCTGATTTTACGTGGAACAAAAACTAAAACACACCCGAATACGAAGTACCTCCCAATTTCTAATGGTCGATCTAATCTCTATTTGATCTCACTTTTCGCCAGTCTGTGTGTCTCTGAGGGCGATGTAGTCGCAGAACCAGCTCTGGTCGGACCCCACTCCAGAGTTGTCATGCCACAGACGCACACTGGACAGACGACCCAGAGAACTAAATTGAAACAAAGCATTAAACGAAAGAAAAGTAGACGAAACTAATTTTCAAGTCCTGATAACTCTCGCTACAGAAGCACCAGGTTTGACTTCCTCAATTTAAACTAAAATTTAAAAATTTGTTCAAAAAAGAGGCTTACCCTTTCAAGTACACTTACTCTTGCAAAAAAAAAACACAAAAATGAAGAAAACATCTTAAATAGGTACAATATTTTTCATAAACGAACATACATCGTAACCCATTTAAAGAAAGCCCAAAAAACACAGAAATAAACTTTTTTGACACAGAAAGTCCCCTAAAAGTTTTTTTCGGAACCATTATTGAGATTGAATTGGTTTTAATGTGATATGACACTCGATGCATTACAAATGTTGTTTGCGGTACCTGATTTTGGGTACATAAAACATCAAGCCTAAATAGTAAGAATCATCAAGCTTAAACTCTCTCAAATGATTATGCCAGAAAAATTTCAGAAAATTCAACAAAAAAATGAAAGCAGCTGAACTCAGAACACGAAATCAAATATGATTAAGATTTCTTAGAGAGTAATTTTGTCTCTTACCGTGGAGTTGAAAGCAAGAACAAATCCTTGTTGTTTCTCTTCAATATCTCCCTGTATGGATCTTCCACCACGTGTATTCTACTTCTGCCCAACTCCCCCACAACGTAGAAGTAGATCCTACTAGTTGTGCCTGCCCCCTTCAACATGCCAGTCTGGATGGCCAGCTCGTACATGTAGAAGTCAGCTGGGTCGTTGTCGGGCAGAGGGGTGAAACCGAGCTGCAAAAAGTAAGAATTAAGAGCATACTAAGAAGAAAAAAACATCAGGCAAAAATCTGCAAATCAAAACAGAGATTTTGAACAGAGATTTTGTTCTCTATTATATAAATTCAAGCTGAAACGAAAATATTCATAAATGATGAAGCTTAAGCTCTTTGTTATTAACGACCAAAAAATGATTTTGAAAAACCCGACAAAATTAAAATTGGTGTTTTTTTTCAAATTATTTTTTTAAAATTTTTTTCAAGTCATGGCTAATTATGGTCAATTTTTAAAATTACTATCAACTGTATTTAGAAACACTGTGCTACTTGCACTGTAATTGGCCCCAATTAAGGCATCGGCATTTTCCAGTTTCCCCTTTCCAAATTCAATTTTGAAAAGTCTATTTAACGTTGTCATAATGCAATGAAATTTGGCGTGCTGAACAAATCGACAACTGTGAACAGATTTGTTCTTCATACTTTACAGCGTAACATCACGCATTTAGCCGTAATAACACGTAAAACAAACATGAAACTCGGTATTTTGAAAGGTCCGGGGGGGAGGGGGCGTCTGAAAAGAGCTAGCTAATCTCTGACCTTGGCGATATCTTGTCTGTCCTTGCGGCGTGACCACAGCATGAGTAGAATGTAGACCATCCAGAGTAGGAGCAACACACAGTAGACAGGGTACATGTCTTCGAACTTGAAACTCATGGCTGAGAAGTCCAGGGCAGGGGGAGCGGGGGCCAGGGTGCTTCCGGCGAAGGCGGTCAGATGCATACACATGCATTCCGTCCCATACTTGTTCGACATACTGCCCACCTGCAAAATATGAAGAAGGTAACTGAAGTGCATTTAGCAAATTTTGCATTTTTTTCAGCTCTATGTTAACAATAAGCATTAAAAAAGAAAGACAACTTTGTTTTTTTTAGCTGTTTTAATTTATAAATAGGCATAAAAAAGATAATTAAAAGTGGTAAAATTGCAATTTTCTGGCTAAAATTCTTTTTGGTTTTTTATCAAATAAACAATAAGGTTGTGACAAGGATATGAAAAAAAAAAATTTTTTTTCGACAATGATCGACACATTCTAAGCTACTTGCACAGTATCGGCTATCCTTGTTATCTTTCTTTGTTTTTACACTCAAAATCAGGTGCCACAAATAATCATCGGACTGGCTTGACTGATATATCATATTAGAGCCCTTTTAATCGTGATTCGAACGGCATTCAAAGTTTCTAAAAGAATTTTCCAATGTTGAGAAAAACCAGTTTGAAAAATTTGTGATTTTTCATCTAATATCGAGCGAGTGAAGCAAACGAGCAGGCTTTTTATAGAAGCATAGTTGCAAATTAGCAGTCAATGAGTCATAAATTTTTTATTCAAGCCCTACAAAACCTAATTACGGTAATTTTCGAAGTTTTTTTTGAAGTTTTCAAAAACAAATAAATAAAAAGTTTTCTGTAAACCATTCATTTTTTTGTTCTTTTTATTAGTCATTTTTTGAAGAAAATTGTTTTCCAATTGGCCTTTCTTACTATGAATATTGGAAATGCCTAAAATGTTGTCTTTTTTCAGATCCTTCCATCACAACACGCACAAAGAAAATTGAAATTTTGTTTAAAATTCTTTTTTTTTGTAGTTGTTTATGATTATTGCCGGAGCTTTCTAAGACACGTGTACAGCAACCGGCTGTCCTTGTTTTTACTAGGCACTACAGAAGCGCATTTGCATGAGATCCAATGCGTGCATCTTACCACACAACCCCTAGTGGAGTAGTCTTTAGGCGAGGACTTGCTGGCGTCATCCTCCATGAAGTAGCAGCCCTGCGACCACACGTTGAACTCAAAGTCAGATGAAAACACCTGGAAAACCAAAGATAATTGAACTTTTGTGAAGCGTTTTGGAACCCTAAGAAAAAACCAGAACCAATCGCTGAAATGACTGACAAAGAATCATCGCCAGAAGAAGAATGATTTGAAGATATGAGACGGGAAAAGTTTTGTCTGGATATCTGGATACCATTGTTGTTCTGACTACTGAAAGTGGGGAGGAACATAGTCTTCGGGTGGGTCCTTTTTAGTTTTTTCCCACGCAAAATCCGGTGCTACCAATATTCATCCGAATGGGTCGAGTGATATGTCATTTCAACGCCTTTTCAGTCGTGATTCCAACATTTTAAAAGATTTCAAAACATTATCTGAGTGTTGCGAAAAACCTGTTTAAGTTTTTTGCTTTTCGGACCGATTCAAGCGAGTAACGAGAGCTAGCAGACCTTATTACAGCACACACAAAAATATATTTAAGCCGTGAAATATTTAGTTAATTGAACTTTTGGATTGGTTTTTGGCGTGCCTTGTTGGAGATGGTCTCCTGGTCGAAGTAGAAGTAGTCGAAGTTCTTCCTGCAGGGTCTGACCCCTATGTGGTAGGTCCCACTGTCCTCCAGCAGGTGGTTCTCTATCATGTAAGTGTACTGGTCAGGGTACTCCACACCCTCGTGTCTCCTCTGCTCTGCAACAAAATCAATAAACACAGTTATAACATTAGCGACATCACATTAAGATTATTAGGGTCAATTAGCAGAAACGTTTAAAATTGAAATATATATATATATATATATATATATATATATAAAGTTTGAAAATTTTTCATTTTTTAGGTTTTTCTTATGTTTTTTGAATTTCGCAATGGTGGAAACATTTAAAGAAATTTTAAAGTATTGATAGAATCACAAATCAGAAGGCTTCCTTATGACATACCGGTTTGACCAAAACTTCTTATGATACAATTGCCATGTATAAAAAACTTCAACCATACCATTCCATAAGTAAAAAAAAACTGCATGAAATTTCTGATAAGCATTTTCCAATATATGAAAACTGCATGAGAAGTTCTTCTCCGTAAAACAAAAAATTTGATGTTTTTCAAACTCAAATATCTGAAAAATTTTGGGTTGTGTTCGTAACCGAACGCAAGTGACATACACCTTGGTTTACTCATAGAACCAAAGGTTGTGCGGCATTGCATTTAAGGTTGCATAGAAAATGACCTCAATTGTTCAAGAGCTTTTTTTGTCACAAAATATATAGCAAAAGTAACAAATTTTTAATTTTTGGCGAAATTTTTCAACAATAGTTATTTTTAAAGTTTGAATTTTCAAATTATCTGAAATTGATCAAGGCATACATAAAGAAGCCATACAAAAAAAATCAGCGTTTTTGAAACATTTTGTTTAGCGAAAGAAAATCCAACACTAGTGCATCCAGGACTACATTATGCACACAAAAAATTGAATTTTTCATGCAAAAATTTTTTTGAAAATGTTTGTTTGAGTACAAAATTCAATTTGCGATGAAAAAACAAAAACAAAATTTTTGGCGACATTTCAAAAATTCAATTAATTGGAAAAAATTTTATGTCACCATTAAAAAAATGCTGGTATATGGGAATTGTGTGATAAACTTTTTTGATGTGTGGAGGTCAACCCGCGTTGACTCAATCTTTTGTTGATATACCGGATCTTTTTTTATCACCCAATCGATTGTGAAGCCTGCTTTTACGTAAAAAACCACACTATGTCATAGTTTAACTTCTAGTGGTGCTTTAAATAAAATCAACTCTCAATCAGATTCAGAGAAAATAGTTTTTGGTATCTTCATTACAAGCTTTGTGTCATATTACATCTGTTTACTTGCTTTCATTGACAGGAGGATCGACATCCTGCAGATCCAATGTCGCGCTCCGCAAAAATTTAACAAATAATTGGACACTAAGTGTATAACACTTCAGTTTTAGGCATCAATTATTCACATGTAGTACTACAGTGGTGGCCCTGACAGTGTGAGGAATGTGTCTCTTTTTTTTAGAAACAAATCGATCTTTTTTGTTTCGACCAGGGGTAGGAGGAAACTATGACCTATGGAACTGTTTCTTTAAGCTAGGTATCACAGATACACATTTCACGACGACAAATAAAATATCATCAGCATCATCATCATCATCATCATGCTCTTTTTTTTAGACACCTCTTCTTGTTCTCAGAGGTGTTAGTTGATATATCTTCAATTTTTTTTTCCACTAGTTTCTTCGGATGTTCCGCATATTTTGTTCAATTGATCTTTTCCATGTTTTCGTACATTGCATTTCATCGCATATTCATCACCACATAAGGCTCGAGCCAGTTAAAAACATCAGAGTTCTTTCATATTTTCATAAAAACATCATACTAAAGCCCTTTGACTTGTGAGTACAAGCCCAAAAATAATTTTCAAAAATGTTTTCTTTGTGTCATTCTTACTAGTTTACTAAGCGGCCATTAATTTAGCAAGGAACGAGTTTAACTTTGCACCTCCACTTCCCACAAAAATGTCCCCAAATTGGAAAAAAATTGTTTTATTTTTTTGTGAAAAGTAATCTTCTCAGTACATCGGCAACTCTTTCATATAGCTATAGTTAAAGTGTCAGAGGTGAAAAGACAACATACTAAATCTCCAGGAAAGGTGCCAGAAGCGACCCACCTTCACACAGACACACACACACATACATACATACAGACATACATATATAATTTGGTCTTTTCCTTTGGGTCGGCAGGGGGTCGAATCCCTGACGGGGGAAAAGCGTACAGCGCCCCGCCCCATCCCCCGCTACTGCATACATACCTGATCTAGTCAGGTCCCTCGGGAGTCGTTCGAAGAAGTCATACTCCCATGTATTAAGAGTGGGGTCATGATATGGTTCCTTGCCTCTTCTCACATAGACACACAGCCACTCGTCCACTAACTGTGCCACATATTTGACTCGGATGCTGATCGCCACATCCCCACCCAACTCGATACTCCTCAGAATGAACTGGTGCTCCTTGCCCTGTCAAAGTAAAAAAAAAAATTTGGATTATTTTGTAGGGTTCAAAAAATCCAAAAAAATATGGCCTTCAAGCTCTTTGCATAACTAGAACAATTTATGATTGATAAATTTTTTGCTGAGATTTTCTTAATGATGTTTATTGTTCCGGTGTTCGAAGGTTGTAAGGGAATGTTTGTGATTGGTGCCGTTTTTTATTTTCAAATACATTTTGACTTATCAAGTAGCAATATTTCAGCAATATTTTTAATATCAACTGAAAGTTATTGACGTTCAGGTCAAAAATTTACCCTGTGAATATATTTTACCTGTATTTTACCTGTTTGTTTTTATTCTACTTGTGATCATTTTCGTAAGAGTTAAGGAAGTTTGAAGTTTGGCAATTCGTACAACGGTGATTTAGTCCGGCTGAAAATTTCAATTGAGGCAAGTTTTTTTTGCCTTACTAGCACATTACCAAGCGCTAGATTTTGATTCTGAAACCGTTTTCCAAACTTTTTAAAAGATCTTTTCAAAATATCAAAATATAACCAACAGAAAAATGGAAAAGAATCAATAAACGCGTGCAATTGGAAAAAAAAAACCAAATTGTTTTTTTTTCTACGAAAAAATCTCAATTTCGAACTCCAAACGATGGCCTTGAAGCTCTTTGATATCTGATTTTCTGGAACAATTTATAATTGGCTCTTTTTTGATAAAATTGACCCAATTTGAGAAAATTGGATCAATAGGTAAAGTCTTCATTTTGCTGAGAAAGCTGACAAATTAAATTCCGTTTTCCAAGCTAGAAGCCGATCACGTTTTTCGTGACTTTTTAACTTTTGCTGTTTAAAAGTGGAGTTTGCCTTCTTTTAAAGAAATAGAAAATAATTGAAGTTAAAATAAATCAAAGGTCAAGCCACAAAAATCCAAGTTTGCACCTGAACAAATTTTACGACTCTCCTGAAAAAAATCATCACGACCTAAATAAGAGTCATCACTGCGTAAATCGACTCTTAAAACTTTATTTCGAAAATAAAGGGCAGACTGTATATTCAGGTTTGAGCCTTGATACGAGCAGTCTTGTTTTTACGTTAGTAGATACTGAATACTGCACTTTGTATATTCTATAGAGGCACTTAGCATGGTAGTAACGCGATCACTCTGAAATAGTCAGATTGTGTATTCGATCCCCTGCCATGGCAATGATAGTGTGTGATGCCGAGCCCTCACTTGACCTCCAGCTTCAGGTTTACCGCAGCCTGGCAAATTTCGGATGCAATAGTGGCACCACGAAAAGGTTATCGACGCGAAAAAACGGCCTTGAGTCGCAAAAAAAGAACGAAATTACACAATCTGGAATGTGGGGAGAGAATATAAATGGAATCTAGCCTCGATAGGATTGTTAAGGTCTACTGATTGCTCCTCTGCAATTCACAAGAACCACATTATAATTTATAAAATATATCGTGCGAGAGAAAAAAAAAACAAGACCGGCCACATCAAGTAAAACACGAAATGTTCCGACCTTCCTCATTATATTATCTTCAGAAATTGTTAAAATGTTTTCATTGAAATGGTACCAGTGTTTAATTTGATGTTAACAATTGGTAATTAAAAAACAATATCAAGTTATTGTGCCAACAAAAATTGACAAAATCATTTTTCATTCAGTTAACTTGAAAAAAAGTTTTAAAAACATATGAACGTTTTTGAGCTTTTTCGCATTAAAAAGAGAAAAGTTATAATATTTTTTAAACTAATACAATCAATTTTTCAAAATTTTATATTAGCAATCCTAGCAATAAAATCTACTAGTATCTATTGAACACCAGTGCGGAAATGAGTAATATAAACGGAAAATTTGTATTGTTTACTGGGGATGTAGTACCATATTCTTTACTATATAAAATGTATGAAAATGAATTGGATTTCACAAATAGTTGACTATGGAGTCTAACCAGTTCCATAGATCCCTTGACCACTTCGTAGTTGACATCGAAGTTGCCGGTGTCCTCTTTGGGTATGTGCATGTCTATCGCCTTGCGTGCCTCCGGGACCTATGGAAACAAATTTGCATCGGAAATTTTCAACAACGGTTTGAAAACAAGGAAGGAAAACTTGTTCAACTAAGTCGAAACTATGGCTGCTTTTGAGAAAAATTTACATTGATTTTGTAAGAAGCCAATGATTAAGCATCATAACACTTTATATTATTTATAAACTAATTCAAAACTTCATTTATTGTAAATAAGTTTTTGGTTTGACAAATTTTTGTCGCTGTGAATGACTAAAAAAAAATTAGAAACCATAAGCCTATTTCCATAATAAGTCTAGGTTACATAGCGTGTGGGGGTTGATTTTCATCAATAATAAGAGCAACCTTTTTTTGATCTCAACAAAAGCCAAATAATCGGTTGCTTTTTTGTCCTTTTGCTTCCCTGGAAGTCTTAACTGGAAGTCTGTAAGTATTTCTCAAGTTCTGTTGTTATAGTTGCCCTATAACTATTAGTTATAAATTCAAAAACGAAAAGCAGTCTATTCACGCTCAGGGGTCCATCTTCCTGGTCATTTGAGAAGACAATTCGGACCATGGCACTGCCCTGCACCAGGTAGTCTCCAGGCACTCCGAACAGACCAGGACTAGGGGTGGCCAAATTCTAAACAAAGTCACCAGACAGTTGGAAAGAAAGTTGCAATGAACTCAAAAAACTGAAAAAAGGGATTGCTTTTTTTGAAGCAGACTCAAAAATATATAGAACATCAGAGCTCTAGCACGTCAAAATTCACTGAGACTTCTTTTGGAAAAAAAAAAAGTCGCTTGTGTACCGCGCAAAAACTTCAAAAAATTACTAAATTATCTGTTTTCTATTTGATGTCTTGATGTTTGTTTTTACCTGCATACTGATGGCTGTACTCGGCGACCAAGAGGAGGCGTCGTCTAACAGGTAGTCGAAATTGGGCAGGGCTATCTTAGGAGCATGAGCCATACTCAAGGCTTTCACTGAGAAAGTCATGCCTGAAACACATAAAACTCTATAAAGGTTAATTTTATTTGATTCAAATTAAGTTTTATCAATTATCTACCGAAACAGTAAGATTTTATCAATCAAAGAGCGTTGAAAAAACTTGAATGGAAAAATTTGACGCATTACGAGTCCAAACGTTACAAATCACTCGACCCGACCACATTTGATGTTGATTTGAAAAACTTCTGTTGCCTGAGGAAACAAATTTTCTCTGAGGCCAAAATTATTTATCTTCAGGAAGTATTAAAAAACTTCCCTGCATTCTCGAAACATCAAAATGAATTCGTGAACAAAAACAGACAAGATTTCCCTTGTCAGAACACAGCCCTAAATGTTCGGATTAACCTTCAACGTCATTAATAATTTTCGGCAAAAAGAATTAAAACTCAAAACTTGAAATAAGTTTATTTAACTGAACAAAAAAAAACAACTTATGTACCGTCATCGCCCCCTGTAATGGCGTCTTTCTGCTGCTTGAGTAGGTCGACGCCCATGCTATCGGTGGCGAGGGTGGTGCTGGGCTCGTCTGCCTGTTTGTTCATCTGACACGACTTCGCTATCGTGTCAATCATCCCAAGCAGCTCTAGACCCCATTCCTGTCAAGAGAGCAACAAAAAGTAGATTAATGGTTTTGCAAATACTTATGAAAAACCAAACACTCTTACAATTTCAATAAGTTATGAACAACCAAAACCAAACACTCTTAAGAATTTGTTTTTACTACCCGCACTGAAGTTTCATGGATAATAATCAATTATATTGGATTTTCATTGTCAGTCTCAATGAAATAACAAAATTAATCGATTATAATCGATTGAAAATGGATTATAATGATAAAGTTTTTTAAGCAATAAAATCCCAAAATAATCGATTATAATCGATTATTTTCAAAAAATTTTACCAAAAGAAAAATAACCCATTTTAATCGATTAAAATGGATTATAACTATTTCTTCAATTCTTTTTGTGTGCTGTTTTCATTTTTTCATAATTTTGTTAAACTTTAGTTATTTTGTTCTCTCGCTTAACTTCATTTTTCCCATTTTCAATCGAGTTTATGAAAAATTACAAAAATTTACCTATAGATCCCACACCAACTTCCCTCCACGCTTACCCGTACTACATTTAGATGTCCCCTAATTAGAGAGCGAGAGGGTACGTAAGGGGGGGGGGGGGGTACGTTGGGGGGGGTAATGTTGGGGGGGGGGGTACGTTGGGGGATGTCCCCTAACTAGAGAGAGGGGGGTACGTCGTGGTTGGGGGTACGTGGGGGGATGGGGCTACTTGAGGGGGTACGTCGTGGGTTGGGGGAGTACGTTGGGGGGGGGGGGAGTACGTTGGGGGGATTTGGTACCTTGAGGGGGGGGGGAGGTTGTCGTGATGAACTGGTCAAAAATGCTGTTTTTGGGCACTTTTTGGAAAATTACTACATATTGGCCACCCCTGGATGAACGTGTTCGTTCGAGTTTTGCAGAAAGTTGCAAAAATTAGAGTCATTGTTTACGAAATTTAATCAATTTTCATGGATTTTATGTAAAAAAAAAATAATCCATTATATTGAAAACAAAAATGGATTATAGTATATTATAATGGATTTAAATTTTTCCAAAATAATCGATTATAATCGATTAAAAATCGATTACGTGGTCTAAATTTGACATGATAATCGATTATATTGACAAAATTTTAGTCAACGAAAATCCATTATAACTGATTATTACCCGGGTTGACCTCCATAGACCGAAAATGCTACTCATACAATTTCATACACTTAGTCTATGGAAAAATGCTAGTCATACAAATTTCATACATTTTTGCAAAATGAGTTTAATCGAATTTCAAAGGTATTTTATAGTTGTTTTGGTATCAAAATTGGTATCTCTTCATTAAAAAAAGGAAAAAAAAATGGTATGAAAAAAATGCTAACCATACAATTTCCATATATGGAAATTGTATGATTAGAATTTTTTTTTAAAAATTTTTTTGTGAAAAAAAAGCTTTGAAAAACCAATTCAACTGCTGGCAAAACATGGAAATTGTATGACTAGCATTTTTTTGATGGCGACGACACAAATTTTTTTAGGTATTTTTGAAATTGCCCCCGAAAATTTTTTGTGTTTTTTTTTCAACCGCAAATTGATTTTCGTATTCAAACAAACACTTTTTGAAAAAAAGTTTTGCATGCAAAATTTAATTTTTTGTGTGTATAACGTAGTCCTGGATATACTAATATTGGATTTTGTTTCCTTTTCTCTTCATAACATTTTTCAAAAACGCTTTAAACTCCTCTTTCTTTTGTATGACATGTTTTTGTATGCCTTGATCAATGTCTGGTAAATTAAAAATTCAAATTTTAGAAATAATCATCTTTGAAAATTATTGCCAAAATTTAAAAGTTCATTACTTTCGTTATATTATTTGTCTGAGACTGAAGTAACACATATCAGGCTGTTTCCAATGCATTTTTAATGCAAGACGGCCAAACCGTTGGTTACTACGTTTGAGTAATCAAGGTTTATGTCATTTGTGTTCGGTTACGAACACAACCAAAAAGTTTTGAGAAATTAAAATGTAAAAAATCAATATTTGGTTTATGGAAAAATGCTAGTCATACAATTTCCATATATGAAAGAAATACTAATCATAGACCTTTCATGCAATTTTCTGTACGTATGGAATTGTATGGAAAGTGTATGACTAGCATTTTTCCATATATGGAAATTGTATGACTAGTATTTTTGGTCATCACGGGTACCCATGAAACTTCGGTGCGGGTATAGCTCAAAAATAGCTATCCCATACCTATGAAATAAAACAAAATCAAGAGTGTTCAGTTATTTAGCATATCTAGCTATAAAACAGGACTGATCAGATCTGATGCAGATCTGTGCACATCTGACATGCATTGTGCAGGTCTGCAAAACTAGTATTCAGACATGACTAATAACTTGCAGACCTGAACAATGCATGTGAGACGTGCACACTCTTCTTTGCATTTTGTCCACTACTAAACCGAATGGATTATATGTAAGTTTACTTGCCTGATTTTGTTTTCACGCGTTACTTATTGAATTATTGGGCTCAAATTTTGCTGCGTTTAAACTTTGTTGTATTATTTTTGTTTATTTGAATCTTATTTAGATCCAAATTTTTTAAAATGAGCCAATCGAGGACTAATTTTTCTAGCCAATCGTTTGCGGAAGATAATAATTCGCCAAAAAAACAGGTAAAATTTGAATTACCACCCCCCGTTTGACGGGAGGCGGCATGCTGCTTTTTATTAAAGTCTCTCCCCTCCCCCCCCCCATTTTCTCGAAATCCCCCAATAGCTGATTGAGGTTAATGGGAGGGGGGGAGGGAAGGTAGGCTGCATGCTGTTCTTTATGAAAGTCTGCATGAAAATTAACTTTAAGATTTCCAGCGGAATAAAAACTTTACCTGTTGATCTAGTTTTCTCAAGTTGGGTTAAAATTATCAAAGAAGCGCCAATCATAACTCGTTCTGAAAATTCAAAGAGCTCAAAGGGCATCTCCTTTTTGTTCAATTCGAAAGTTCAGATTTTTTCAACAAAGTCAGTGTCAGTGTTTTTTATGTTTACTTGTGTTCATTACCCATTTCCAATCTTCGGCTGGCTATGTTACAGGATGTGGTAACAAGTCATGTGGTTGCAAGCGTAAGATGCTCAAAACAACGCTGCGAATAACAGGTACCCTCGCCCCCAGAGGACGAGAAAGCTGTAATATATAGTCTGTTGATTTGTTATGATAGCTGTTTGTTTTCATTTCTTTTTTTGAATTTATTTTGTGATTGTGCTTCGTTTTGAGTTCGCGAGAGGTTTCGAACAAAGTTGACAAAAAACTTTTTGTTCAGTTGAAAATTGATTCAGTTTTTTTGCAGCACTGCAGATCTGACGCAGGGGTGAGTCAGATCTGGCCAGAGCTGTTGCAGAGTGAGTCTGCTCATAGCTGCAGAAATCCATTAGTAGATCTGATGCATATCTGCATCAGGTCTGATCAGCTTTAAAATAGACATGCTGCAGGTCTAGTGCAGGCCTGGAAAATGTATGACTTAACGCTGATCAGCGCAGATTTTCATTCAAAGATTTGGTACGGTATAGTTGTCAAAAATCTAGAGAAAACTTAATCCAAGAATCAAACAGTTCTAGGAAGAGATAAAACGTATTCCTTTCACTCTGAAATAGCTTACTCAGTCAAAAAATCTAAAAAACTATTGTTCAGAAGCTTAATCAAAAAGAAAGCACACACAACTAGGAAGCGTTGAAATAATTTAATGAAACTCCGAAACAGCTGACACAGTCGACAAATCTAAGAAATTACTGTTAAGCCCAGAGAAAACCAAAAAATCTAAGGATAATCAAATTCTGCACAGCAGATGAAACTAACAGGAAAATTGTGTTGGAAACTCGCGAAGCTGGGAAAAATTATATAAAACTGGGGGGGGTAATTGTACACTCAAACACTTCACGGGTCATCGTATATAACGGAAATCTTTCTGTGAGGATGTCGAATTGATATCTAGTATACAGCTTTTAGCTCACTTAAGAACATTGAATGTGTGCACTATTTTAGGAACCAGTTATAGCGACCATAGTTTAAAGAAAACGTTTGAATTTCACTCAGATGATTTTAAAAAAACACACGAAGATTTCTAAACCATGATGATGACTAGGAAGAAGAAAGGGTTCAATTCTTGAAGGATACTAGCCTCCATTTTACCCGCAAGAGGGGCAGGTGTTCCGGTCACTGCTTCGCCACTGCAGTGTAAAATAAGTGTGAACAAAACAATTAAGAATTTCAGCTTTCGAATTGTCGTGACAAAAAAAGGAAACTCAACTTTTGTATTTTTATACACATTTTTCTTTTATTTTAACTACATTTTGTCAAACCAACCAATAAGCATGCTTGTCTGTTTTTCTTGTATAAAGCCAAAATAAAGGATAACCTGGAGCTGAGGAGAGCATTTTTGAATAATTTCGATTTTGTTGACAAAATGCAATCATCAAAAACAAAGGAAATGTAGATATAAGTCAAATAAAAGTTTTGCAATTGACTCACTTGAACTCTTCCATTGGACCATTGGTGACATCAGTTGTGGTGTCATTTTCAGCTGCCAGACGATCTTCTCCAACCCTTTCTCTGATACCCTAGAAAAATTTTTTTAAAGGTATGGGGAAATGCAATCATCAAAGTTTGCCTACTGAGAGTCTATCCGTTAGTTTTTTAGAGTCTACGCCATAGTTGATTAGTTAATAAACTAATTTCTATTAATTAATTGCACATTGATTTAAAATTCAAAAAATGCACGTTTAAAAATATTTAAATTGCACAGTAACTTAATATGTTAATTTAAAATATAATAAAGCGTTTAATGAATTTAAAATTGACATTAATGTTTAAAATGCTTGCCATGAATATGCTGGATATTGCTGCTACTGAGGACTCCGTGATGGACTCCAGAGACCCCTGGTCTAGAGTGCTAGCCTGTTCCAACAAGTTGCTCCCTATTCCGGAGCTCAGGCTCTTTACCGAGTTCTGAACAAGAAATTTGTATAAGAATCTCAAAAAAAGTAGTCATCTTTTAGTTAAAGCATAACCAACCTTGCTTTTTGTGCCTTCCAGAATTTCACACAGTTTTTCAGCTCCAAAATAATTTTTATTACAAATTACTTAATTGAATAAGAAACTATAAACAGGTCCATTCAAACATTAGAAAAAGTTTTTGTTCAATGTGAAAACAAAAATAATCACGTGATTCAAATGTACAAACTTGCTTGAGAGAAAAATGAAACGGGTGTAAAAAAAGCTCCCCTACCAAATTGCGATTTTTGAATTAAGACGGCTAAATTTTCCCGGAAAGGGAGCTATAATGGGAAAAAGCCCGATCTAGATGATGATTGATGAAGGGTGCATTTACCATGGACGCTTCGGTGAGTTCGCCTGTCTTCTGGGTGGAGTCTTTAAGAGCACTGGACACTGAGTCAATGACCTCTGGACTGTTTAAGCCCATCAGACCTCCATCCACATTCACAAGGATCTGCTGCTTGATCTCCTCATTGGTCTAAAAAATCAAAGTAATTAATTTAGATTAGTTTAGTTAATAATAGTTATAATAAATTGTTTCCAAGTGAAGTAATTACAAGAAGACAAGAAGTGAAGTAATTACAAATTTAGTCAACACACACCCTACCCCCCCTTCAACACCCCCCAGCACCAATTACCTTCTGTGCCTGTGCTCTGAGGGTGGCCTTTGTCTGCAGAATGAGAGCGAGTTCTTCCTCCTCCTCCTCTCCCCCCACCACTCTTCCAACTTCACTACCCAGATGCTTCATTTCGTCCTCAATAGACGTTAATTCCTCGTCCAGTTCGGCTGAATGGATAGGCAAAAATAAGTCAGAAAACACGAGTTTACAAACTTCCAATTAATTGGACAGTAGAACTACGCGATCTACTTAACAATCAATCCCCCCCCCCTTTAAGAAAGATAGGAGATTGTTAAGTAGATTAAAACAGTCGAATTTTCTACCAAACAAAATACTGCAAAATTAGATTTCGCAATAGAAAGCTGTGTTAGTTTACTGTATTTATTCATAGGGGGTGAGGGTAGGAGATTGTTACGTAGGTCCGAGCTTCATATTCACTAAATCTTCATCAGAATAAAAATTGCAAAGGAGACATTTCAAATTGTTCACTTTAATATGATCACTTCGGTGGACGTCTGATGGCAGATGGAAAAATGAGTAACCATCCAATGAGGATATTGTAAGTTATGCAAGGAATAACGTCATTAATCGTTGAACCTTGCTTTGACCTTGAGTAATGGTCATCGTGTATTGTCTAGAGAATCAGTAGCCCATATGATTTGATTTGCTAAAAACCAGACTGTCCTGAACTTCCTGATTTCATCACTTATTTTTTTTCGATTCAATCAATACTGAGCTCTGTTTATAGTTTAATTGGCTGACAAAATTTTCGCACTTTCGGTTCCTAATGCATAAAAAACCCCATCATCCCCCCGGAATTAGCTATTAAGGACATTTTACAGTGTTTCGGGTTTGCTTAAACGGTTTCCGACAGCGGACGAACTTACTCATTAATTCATTCAACATGGTCACCATGGCTAAAGCGAATGCCGTAATGTTCCTATTGCTCTGTTCCGCCACGTATTTCGACATGTTCTGCTGAACTGCAGTTTCAATCATCAACTGGACACTTCTGGTCTCAGTTTCCAGGGCATATGGGTCGTCTGTGAGCAGTTGTTTGACCTTGAACTCACTGGGGTAGGTCAAGGTCACGTTTTCTGTCGGAGGGTACAGAGTGGTCGTGTTCACGTCTTGACACGTCACCATTTCCGACATCTTCACTTTCATGAACTGGAAAGCAAAATCGTAATACGACAACTCGCAACGAAATACAACTCGCCAAAATTCGACAACTCGTACCCCCCTCCCAAAAAATCACATTTTCGTTAAATAAATGTCAAGGTAAGAGCCTTACGGGTCAAACCGCAATTTTACGGTGCCATCGGTCAGAACATACCAATTGTTGGAAACTACGGTCTTAACATGTAACCGCAACCTCGGGCCGGGGTTGGAATCAATATAAGAAAAATGTTTACTCTATCTTTGACGCAGTAGAACACAAATGCGCCGAAGCAGTCGGAGACCCTGACGCACAGCACCACAGCCCAGTCTTTGCCTTTGTCTCCGTACTTGATCTTCTCATTGTAGGGGTTCTGAGGGCCACTGTAAAGAGCAGTTTGCTGGACCTTGAAGGCCTCCAGACTCCTGATTTCCTGGTTCACAGGCACGTCCAACATGTTGGCTCCGCTGACCTCTAAAACCGAAACAAAAGAAAAGGTCAAAAATCTGTTCTCAAATTAGATCTTTCCGTCTTTCACTGTGCGGCCACGCTCAAAACATAAAAATTAAATAATTTCAAAACAGGACAATCGGTTGATGTAAAAGTAGCACAGAATGTTCCGACCACACTTTGAACAAATATTTTGAAACTTTTTTAACAAGTTTTTTTTGGCGGTGGAAAAGAATTTTAGTCAAAACATTCCAATGATAATTTTTTTAATGTTCAAAACAATCTAATAGAGCTCATGGCTTAAAAGGACTCAGAAAACAAAATTGGTATGAAAACTCAAAATAGTCAGACCCATTTTTCTCGACACTGAGACATTTTTTTATCATTAAAATCCAAATAACTACCATTAACTTTCAATGTAATATCACACTTGACCACTCTGTGAATTATCTAAGATCGAGAGAAAAAAAAACGTAGTTACTTCCAGTCACTTCCAATTACGTGATGGTTGGAACGATAAGAAAATTTCAGAAACAGCCCCAGAAACTTTCTTAAGCCGACCTCAATTTCTGTTGACCTCAATTACATGAAAATAGGGGATAGTAATTTCTGTAAATTTAAGCTGTCATTTGAATTTTTCAAAATGAAGAAAAAACGGTGGCGACAACCTAGCTTGTTCTGTTCTCACGTATTATTTTGTAGGACTTGATGCACCCGTCGTCCGGGTCAACCCAGCCATTGAAAGAGAACTTCCAGAAGAGGTAGTTCTCCAGACAATTGCCAAAACTCATCAGGGGGAAGTGCTCCACTGTCATGTTGCCGCCTTTGGGAGGGATATTCAACACAATCGACATTCCCGCATTACCTGAACAAATTAAGGGTGAATTCCCATAGATTCCAATATTCATAGCTCCCAAAATAGAAAATCAGTCGCATAAGTTCCAAAATTTATCTTATTGAATTCTGATTGGTTGAAATTTGAGCCACCGAAATTCTGGATTGATTGTGTACTGTTCAAGCAGCATAAACTCAAGCTGCAGGATAGTGACCGCCGCAGCCACGCCAACGTGTTGCGAGCTTGCCACCAAAGAGTAGGACTCTAAACGAAAATTAGAGCCGGTTATCGCCGCAAAGCGGCAACGCGCGCGTAGCGCGCCCAACGGCGACCTTAAACCGAGACTCGGCTAATTTAGTCTTTTGACCAATTGAAAATATTTGGGACTTATGTGACTGCTTTTTTATTTTGGAACTTATGGGACTGATTTTTCATTTTGGGACCTATGAATACGCACCAAATTAAGGAGTGCGGTCTGTATTTAGACAACCGCGTATTCAGACACTGTATTAACCAATCGGAATCGAGACAAGGAAGAAATGAATTTCAGATCTTCCTTGTCTCGATTCTGATTGGTACACTGTCTGAATACGCGGTTGTCTAAATACTGCTACGTAACCACGAATTAACATTTCAAACCTGTATCGCATAGCGGAGAACAACAAATAAGGAAGATCAACAATTTTTGGCGGATATTCAACAAATCACCTTATCTATAAAAACCGCCATATCTTAAAGCCAAAATTAGATAAGAATTAAGTAAATTACATGAGAATTACGTAAATGTTGCTTAACAACAGTGGCAATCTGAAAATATTAATTTTCGGTTTATTGGAATGTAATCTTATTTTCGGTTTGTTTGGTCTTCGGCTTGTTGGCCTACGACCCAATTTTTGGAAATTTTTAATGATTACAGTGTTATCATTTTTTGAAAAATTTGAAATATCGCACATACGGTTGCGAAGGTATCATTACAAATAAGATAATTTTAACTATCGAGAAAAAGTGGGGGTCTTTTTATTTTTTCCCCCAAAATTTCTTAATTTTGCGATTTTGTAATATTCAACGTATAAATGCTGAGAACAAAATACTGATCAGTTACATAGTAAAAAGTAGACAAGCCATAAAGTAGACACGTCATAAAGTAGCCAACTACTATATTAACCAATCAAAATCGAGAACAAGAAGAAGCAAACTTAGGAAAAAAAAAATAAGTACTTATTAATTATTTATTTTCGGAGTTTGTTTTATGATCTGAATTTTGATTGGTTAATAAATTATTTGTCTATTTTTTGACTGGTATCAGATAAAGTTTGTCTACTTTTTGGCCGCACTTAATACTGACAGCACTGGTTGGTTCTAACAAAGTCGAGTTTGAAGCAGATACGAAGATGGCCATTTTTTTCCCATGGAACTGTTTTCTGTTTTTTTTCTAATCTGGGTAATAATAAATTTTTGACACCATTCAGTGCATTATTATTATTATTTTATGAAATTGTAGTCTTCTTCAATAAAAACTGGATTGCAGTACTGAACGCGACAAAATTAAAATTCACTGATTACAGTTACAACTGATATCATCGAGAAAGAAAAGAATGAAAGACGACCTCTGGAGCCAGGAGGGTACAAAAAAAATCACTTAGATGTTTCGGAAAATGTCTGTGTCTAGTGGTAATTTGTGCCAATTTTATTGCATAGTTTAATTAAAAAAATGGTTTCGCAGTGCTCGAAAAACGTTTACTTTTTTCAATTTTTTAAACAACCAAAATTTAAAACGTTTAATTTTAAATTTGGATTGCAAAAAATTTTTTTTTCATTGTATTTTGCGTTCAACTTCTAAATTTTGATATGTTTTTTGAGAAGCTAACAGTAAAATCCAAAAAAAAATGCTTACATTAACGTATGAATGTTGGCTGGTTCTAAAAAAAACGTCACATTGTTTTCTCTAGTAGTTTTAAGAATTCCAAGTGTTCTAAATGTGAGATTATTCGTTGATTTTAAATCAAAGTGCCTTTTCAAATCAAAATTTTTTAATCCCCGCAAAAATTATTATTGGAAATGGCATGCGTTCGAACACAGCAATGGGTCCCGTTAAATTGTCAAAAATTCTGCAGATAGATGATATAACTGCTGCTTTTTTCAAAGCCAATTTTTGAAAGCATTAATTTATTAATTTTGTATTGTATCTCAAGTCTAAAAGTGACAGAAACCATTCGATCTTAGATCTATTTAATTTTTTTATCGATGCAATTGAAATCAGTATTTTCGAAAAATGTAGTAAATGAAGTTCAAACAAGTTTCTGCCAAACATATACACGCTTTGATTATATGTTTTGCAGAAACTTATATGCGGTTTTGAGGCTTCAGCTATTTGTGATAATGACCTTAATTTTTGTAATTCAAGATGACAGTTATATCAATGTCTGACAATGTCTATGTTGATCTAATGTAACTGTGATTTAGCTAATGTCAGTGGCCTTATTTCCAGAGAAAACGGAATATTTATGCTCTGGGTAGTTTTGTTTTGTTCAGTCAATTTTTGGCGATCGAAATAATAGTTTTTAACAAAAAAATTAAAGATTTTGACAATCTGAAATCAAATGTCAAAAGATATTCTATCTCTGATCAATTTTTGCGAAGATCTGGGAGTTTAAAAATTGCCAATTTGACCATGCTCTGGACTAATTTATGCGCGCTTTGAAGATTTTTTTCACAATGCTGAAAGCGTAAGGCAATTTATTGATACGTGGCAAATTATCCCGCAAAAAAAACGTTCCGACTTGAATTGAGGCTAGTTAATCGGTCGTATTAGTTCTGTGTGACAAATAATTTTCCCAATTGATCGTTGATTTTGTCCAAAATTTATATTTTTTCTGATATTTTTTTTTCCCAAAAACTATTCGATATGGTTGAAGGGACAGTCAGAATATGCAGCGCTTTGCCATGATATACCAACAGACTTGTATTACTTCATCTATTGTTTTATCAGCCCTCCGTTAGAATATAATATAGAATATAAGCAAAACATAAAGAATATGATAAAGCAAACAGAAATTCGGAAAAAACTTCTAATGAATTTTAATATATTTTTTTCGACCTTCTGCAAATTTTGAACTTTTCATTTTCATTGAAAAAAAATTGCGTTGAAGCTCGTGGAATTTTAAAAATAGACAATATTCACCCTTTTTTCATAAATATAACAACCAATTATAAAAAAAAATATTATTCTTTTCTGAAAAATTTGATTCAATTAAAAAAACTTCACTTTCAATTTTTTTTTGATTTTAGGAAATAATAGGCTGACAGGTTTTTTCAAACATTACAAAGGAAAAACTACGGTTCGAAACTGCAGGGAAACATGTATAGTAGGTATAGTAGTTTTCTAGAGAAATTTAGATTGTTTACATGAGAAAAACACAACCAAAATAAAAAATTATTCAAAACTTTTGATCGTTTTCTTGAAGGAAACACTGTATACAAAAACCGAATTTCTCATTTTTTAACCTTCTTCCAGCGGTAAATTAGTTAGTAAACAGGAATCCTTCAACCCAATTGTTCTCGATATGTAAGAGTGTATGATTATAGTTTCTCGTTAGATCAAAAACAAAAAACAACAACGCAATTTTTCAATTGCAATCAATTTTGACAAGACGCATTTGCCTGTTCCGCTTCTTGTGCTTGGTTGTCTTGCATTCATTTCAATACGAGTGACATTTATATATTAATTTATGAAAAAATTATTCCCTTTATTTTTTAACAAAATCTTTTTTTTAGCTCGATAAACTGGTTACTGCGAATATTGCAAAAATTAATCTCACCATTTATAATTTTTCGTATAAATTGAATTGAGTTTTTTTTCAGGTTTTTAATGCTTTTTTCTGTAATTTTGGAAACAACAGCAATTAACCCAAGCCTCAGATAGACAAATTGTGACCTCTTAACTGTAAAAAGGATCTACAATCAGTGATTTAAAGGAATATCCAACATCCGGTAGTAACTATAATCGATCTGAAAAACTGAAAAATTCAGACAAATTATTTCACCATGAAATATAGTTTATATCAGTTAAATGACAAATTGGAACAAAAAAAATTGATTGGTTCTGATTTTATTAATTGCACCTCTACAAAATTGAAAAATGCTTAGATTTCAAAAAAACTGCATTGCGAGGCCAAACTGTGCAACGGATAGGCGCTCATTTTGGTGTGTATATGTCTCTGGAATTATGTAAAAACATTCAAAAACAACAAAAGAACAAAAAATGGGCAAATAGTGCGTCCTTGTTGCGGAACCTGCAAAAAAAAATTTTCTTTTCTATTCCGTCTCTTTCACTTTTCATAGTTATAGTAAATGGCTGCCAACAAAAATCTATTTAAAAAAAATTTCGATGAAAGTAACGGAAAGTTTGCGCTCAGGGTGGTTTTCGTTCAGATAAATTTCTTTAAGTTTGAATTAGCTTCATTGGCAAAAATTCTTATATCTTCTAAAAACTTTTGATAAAGCGAGCTCAAAACTTTAGAACGAAAGGTGTTATGAGAGTTAAAGCGTTATGAAGGTTTGAACTTGCAAAAAATGTCACTTTGGTATAACTAAGAAGCAATATTTTATCGACCTACTTATACGTTATTGGGGAATTTTACCAACTGGAACTGAACTGAAATAATCTTGTTGGAACTCTCAACGAAAAAGCATCAAAAATTTTCCTGATACCTTTTATCGTGCTTAGTTTTCTACCTTACCTTTGTTTCTACTAGGTTCTACCTTAGCTTATAGCTTAGCTTTGTTTCTACCGCTTTAAGATTGTCGTTTTTGCTCTTTTGACTTGTTGTTAACACACATAAAGTGTGGTATTAAATGTGCGTAATTCGATTAATACTTAATCTTTTTGTGAGAGAATTCAAAACCTTTTATTTCGCCCAAAATAAGAAACCATGTCAAAGTCACAATAAGGCAAAAAAGGAGTTTTTAATATTTTTCAGTTCGTTGTAGTGTTTTGATTGTAACCAAAAATTATCTTTTTGTTAATGTAAACCTTGTTCTTACAACTTAGAAAACAATTTGAATTTCAAAATCAGAAAAAATGAGTACTCAGCAATCGGCAACTTTTTTTCTTGCGTTTAGTTCTAGGTTAGATTAAATTGTAGATACAGTTAGTTGCACCAAGTTTGAGGGGAACTTTTTACTATTTACAAAACGATTGCCAGAATAACTGAGTTGATCAAGGCTGGCGTAATGCTCATTCCAATTCAGTAGAACTAACAGCCGTAGAAAATCAATTAGCTTTTTAATAGGTTATCGGAAGCAAGATTTATCATTCTGCCATAAACAGAGCCTGAGGGGACGAACTGGAAAAAAAATTCAAAAAAACAATTTGAAAAAGAAGCTTTGATACGAAAAAATTTGCTAGTAGCTCAGATACAAAAAATTTTCTAAATGATCTTTTGGTATTAAAATTTAAATTTTAAATTTAAATAATTTTCGTGTTTACAAAAGCTTCGAAGAGGAATTTATAAAATGGAAAAAAGTAAACAAGGATAACCGCTTGCTGTGCAAGTAGAACAGAATGTTCCGAACCTAGTCTCAAAAATACTACAAAATTTTGTTTTTAGTCTTAAAAATACAACAAAGTTTTGTTTTTTCAAATTAGTGTCGTTTTTTGTCGTGGTGTGATAAAAGGAACTGAATGGAAAACTAAAGATTAGGCATTATCGATAGTCACAATAAATAAGCAAACCATTTTTTGTAGAGAAGTGACTAGAAAAACGAAAAAAAAATCAAAATAAAATTTCTATTTCAATTTTTCAAAATTTTGATTCCAAAAAGGCGCTAAAATACCCAAAAAAAACCAACGATACTCGAGGAAAAATAAATTTTTACGTTCTAAATTCAGCTATTCGCTTTTGCAAGCATAGCATTTATGTCATTTTTAAGGCTGCTTGTCGGTCTGTTCTATTCGCTCGAATTAAGACCAAAAACTCAAAAAAAAATTCAAACCGGTTTTTCTCAACACTGGGAAAATTTGTTTCGAATCATAACTGTAAACGCGTTTGTCAGGACTTCCTTCGTTCGAATCACGACATTCAATTCTCACGACGTTCGAATGACGACTGTTAGAGCTTCAGTATGTTATATCACTCAGCTATATCCGATGATTACTTGTGGTAGCTGGTTTTGCGTGGAAAACAAAAAGAAAAAAAAAGAAAAAACTAAAACACACTCAAATACAAAATTCCTCCTCATTTTAATGGACGGAACAAAAACACAGGCATCAGACATTTTGAAAAGTGTCAATAAAGTCAAGGAGACTGAAAAAACATAATTGAACTTTTTAAATTTTTTGAGTTTCGGAGAAAAAAAATCGTCGCCTCAAATCTCTTTGAATTTTCAGTTTTTCGCTAATTCTGATTGGCTAATTTTTCGTCTAATGTATCCTTCTGGCAGGAAATTCCCCGGTTAGCCATTATGGAAATAAGTCTTGTCCTTAGCACCTACCACAGGCAGGCGGAAGTCCCATTTCAATCTGCAGTTCTGTCCTCGGGCTGCACATTTTGAGGGCCAAGTAGCAATCTACCACCCCCGCCTCTATTTGGGACGACAACAGTGCCATGGGGATGCCAATCCTCTCTAAAAAGATAAATAACCGTACTGATTCAGATATTTTGCAGAGAAATAAATCAAGAAAATAAAAAATATATATCATCTCCTTGAACTTGGTGAAAAAAAAACCTAAAACCTGCCTCTATTTTTTAGCTCTTAAAAGTAAATTCAAACGTTCTAACGGGGAACTATTGGGTGAAGAAGACTTATTTGTGATTTCAACTTACAAAGGAGTTGTGATTGGGCCAGTGCGTAAATTAATTGAGACGTTTCAAAAGTATCTGAATGCCAATCGCTTGCACAATAACTAGCGGCTTTCAATTTAGCTCAAACTTTGAGTCACCATCCTTTAAAATAGACAAAAGATGAAGAATTACAAAAACTATAGTTAATACATAACGTTCTTCTATTTCAAAATTGAACAAACTTATCGCTTCAACTTTTAAACAGGCTACGGTTTCCACATTAGCATAAAAAGCATCTCCCAAGAAACTTACGAAGATTAGTAGTGACCCTAAGTTTCTCAGCTGGCTGCAACAAGGGATCATTAGTCATAGTTATATTGTCAAAGTTCAGAATGTCCTTGAAGTTCACAGGGTCTGCAAGTCCTGGTTTCAGACACCTGAGATTCCATTGGAACATGGTCTTGGAACAATCTGTTGCTCCGGTGCAGTCTGCAAGTGCTCGAAAAAATCCGATCGGGTTTATCTTCTGAGCCGGACGCTTGTCGGCTGTGATGACTGGTTCGGCTGTTGTTCCGTTTCCAGTTCTAAATAGTTTTCTTCTTTATTTTGATCAAATTTATTGATTGAAAAAAAAAATTGAATTTTTGTCAAAAAATCAATTAAAGAATGAAAAAATCATGATTTTTTAAAATTTTTTAAATGATCATCGTTTTGGCTTCAAAACTTCCGTTAAATTTGTTTTTTTTTATTTTCGGAAAATCATTTGCTCTATCAAAGAAAGGATAAAATCACAACTTTTTGCAGATCCGCTTTTTTTTTTGGAGAAAATCTCGGATCAAAGTTAAGATTAGAATATAATTTCGAAAACAAGTACGCACATGACTTGGAAGGTGGGGACGCTGACTTCGAACACGTTGATGGAGATGATGGCCTGTCCTGTTCTGTAGAAGGGGTCAGGGCTCTTCTTGAAAATGGCCATCAACTCACACGCCACATCTGAAATTAGGAAAGAGTGTGAATAAACCAGGCAAAAACTACGCTGAAATTTTTGTTGAATTCCTACAAATTTTTGTAACTGTTGTGTAATTGTTCCAAAGTTGTTATAAAATTTATCTATATTATTGGCTAGTTTATAACAGACCACCGAAAATAAATTGCATAAGTCGTATACTGTTTTCAGCGACTGAGCGTTTGAAGTTGCATTTTCAGCAATGTTGGCATTTCGAAAAAAAATAACAGGCTAAAGAAGAAAAGATAGGGGTATAAGGATAAGGATCCACTTTAACACATTTTAAAATAAATTGAAAAATTAAACAATTAAACGGATGTCTGGCTGCCTTAAAATTTCGAAATAATTTTTGATTTAGAGTTTTACATCTTGCAAAAAAGTTTATTGCATCTGAATAGCATTTTTGCTTCCAATTCTAATAGTCTATTTTTCGGCATGAAACACTACTTTTTCCAGTAAATCTTTTCCAAAATCACAATAAACTAATTATCACCGGCTCGCATTCCATCAAATGCCCTAGTAACCAGTAGAAGGTCCCCTCTGGTGTTTGCAATTCGTCCAGGGCCCTGACCCTCCAAGCCCCCCGCGAGTCCAGGCTGCTGACCGAGAGGGAGGGGAGGGGGGTAGTTGCGGTTCAGTTCACCCAAATTGTTCAGAGGGTACTCTTCGTCTCCGCATTTGCCATACCACTCGAAGTCAACGAAAGACTAAAATTGTTTATTAAAGCTGGATCTTTTTAAATATCCCTCCTACAGTATCCCCCTCCTGATAAAAATTGTATCTCTTTAAGTATCCCCCCTCCTAGCAAAACCGTATCTCCTTAAGTACCCCCCTCCTAATAAAATCTGGATCTTATTAAATATCCCCTCCTAATGCAACGACTGCTAGATTTGTAAATTGTTGGGATTGCGGGGAAAAAGATACTACATGGAACTACATGAAACTAAATAAAACCCGTATTAAAAAAGCCGAGCATGAATTTGATCGAAAACCAGAGATTTTAGTTTGGATCCACGTAAAACATTATCTAAAAATTTAAATAAATCATATTTGATGTAGTTTCAAACTTCACTAAAAAAATAAGCAATTTCAAAATTAGCATGGATTTGGGGGGGGGGGGGGGGCGGACACCCTTCCTCACGGATTCAACCCCCTGCCAATCCAAAGAGTCCCCCTTTGTACTATTTTGAGATATCTATATTTGGTGACGGACCCTAAAAATTTTATAAAGGCGCCTTTGGCGCCAATATATACTAATTTTGAGCGGAGAGCGCGCCAAAAAAATTTTTTGGCCTGTTTTTCAAAATTTTGTCTGTGGCGCAGAAAATTTGACCAAAACAGGTTCTTTATAGTCAATTGGTAGAGCTCAGAAAATCAAATTGGCAAACCTAAAAAAAGGGGTCGACAAAATTTTCGAGCAAAATTTTCGACCCCCTCGAGAAAATCCTAGATCCGCCCCTGAACAATGGTGAGAAAATGATAATTCGACTTAAGCATTTTGAGTTGCTGTTAGAGTTAACTTATGGTCAGAGTCATCACCAAATTCTATTTTTTGCTGACATAGTTGGTATGCTGCGCTATTACTGTTGATTCCCTAAAAATTGATGGGCTACCGCGAAAAAAAAATGTGTTAAAAAGTTTTCGAAAACAGCTTTTGCTTTTGTTCTCATAAAATTTGCTGGACCCATTCTCAATGCATGCTTTTAGTAGTAAAATACCAGCAATTATACCTGTATCTGTTTTGTGATTAGTGGGAAACTTACCCCTCCATCGACATCCATATCCTTGGAGTATTTGCCCGGGTTCAGCAACACCTCCTGGTCCATGCCCAAGTCCAGACTCGTGACCGAATGGTACATCTGGCCCAGCAACTTGTATGACACTGAACAAAAGTTACTTTTTCGGCTCTCTGTCATTCCAATACTACCCCTCTCCCCTCCCCCTCACCCAAAAAAAACGAAAAAATAAATCATTTTCTGAGAGTGGGACTCACAAGTATGGTTTTATGGTGAACAGATGTTACCAGAGAACTTTTCACTGCGCAACATGTGTGTGTGTGTGTGTGTGTGTGTGTGTGTGTGTGTGTGTGTGTGTGTGTGTGTGTGTGCGAGTGTGTGTGTGTCTCTGTGAGAGTGATGGGAGAACGGGGACTAACCCAACTTGATGTAAGTAAAGGCGTAGTTCAAGTACACCGGGGATTCATAATTCACCAACATCTGTACACTCAAAGTGCACTTGAACACCCCGTACTCCAGCCCCTTGGCCGGAAGCACCAGTTCTGCAGTGTCGTTTCCGGGAAATGGGGGAGTGAATGACGCCCCAATGGACTTCCCGGTTCGTTCACTGTACTGCTGACAAGTCCACCACTTTCGGTTTTTAAGAGTGTCGTCGCAGTTGATAATGACGTTGCCGGTCAACTGAAAACATAGCCAACTGAAAGAGTCAGGAATTGATTGCTAAAAATAATTTCAATTAAAAAATAAGTGACCCTAAAGCTCTTGAATTTTTAAGATTGATGCTTCTTTATATAGAAGCCCTTGTAATATTGGTATCGGGGAGCGCAGTTTGTTTACTGAAGAAAAAATGCATTTAAATTGACCTTAAAGTCAAATCGAAAGTCAAACAAGAAGCATGACCAACTTTTAAAAACTTTGAGCTAAGGAGAGTGACAAAATATCTGTCCTTGGCGTGTGTTCAGTAAACTTTTGACTTTTTAAACAGCCATTTTTTTTGGGGGGGGGGGGGGAGTTTTCTAGGACTGTTCATTACGTAATGGTCTCATACGCTTATTTACCCGGGTTGACGTCCCCGGCTTATACAGTTTCATATATGAAGTCTATGGAAAAAATGCTTAACATAGAAAAATCATACAAAATTTCAGAATTCTTTTAAAAATTTTTAATGAACATTTTTGGTCTACCTGCCACTTTTGAAGCTTTCTGGTCTTTAAAAAAATAATTTACAATTCTTTTTATAAAAAATGCTTTTCATAAAAGTGTGCCCTTACGTACAGTATTCTTATATGTGAATTTTTGTGCGGCATTGTTCCTAATTTTTTCAGTTTTCGTACAACTCGTATAAATTTCGTATGATTGCTGAAATTTATTCGTAATGGCAATATAACGAAAAAGATCTATACTGAATGAAACTTTACTAAGTTTTTTGTACCATCTGAAAAATATTAATGATTCGAGCTCATGTTTAAAGTGAAAGTTCAACAGTAATCATTTTTTCGTAATTATGAGGGTTTGAAAACTGTCATATGTTTTCGGTGCCGTTAAGCATAAACGATGTTTTAATCCGTCTCAGATATTAACCTAAATTGAATTGACAATAGCTTTTTGGTTTTTATAAGGAAGCCTATAAGGAAGTCTGGTTATTCGGAGGCTCGCCTTGATATGAGCAACCTTGTTACAGTTCACTATCAAATATTTTTGAGACAGTTTCTTCAGTTTTGGATAAATTGTGTATTACCCTTCCATGACCAGGATTGCTAATGAAAAGACGTCAAAATTTCTGACAGTCTGTCCAAAATAATTGTTTTTTCGAAAATTGTTCATAAAAAATTCCGTTATGTCTGTAATATCCGGTGCGATAAATTGTAGAAAATACTCTATAATCTATCCCTCGCTGGCAAAAACGGTTTCAGATCAATTTCAGCATGAGAAAGTATGTAGAATAAAATGAGACCAATTTTAAAAAAGACTGAAGATTACATAGAAAAAATTACGATTGATTTGGATAAAAAATTGTCTCATTAAAAAAAAAATTTACCCAAATCGTTTTTAACTTCACTCAAAACTATTATTCCAGTATTTAGTTGTTTTTGTTTTCAAGGGGTTTTAAAAACATATTTAAATTGATTGATTTTCGAAGTTTTTGAGTTTGTGCTGCATTTATTTATTGCCAGTCATTTTTCATTTTACATCCATAGCGTCTGGTAGCATAATAAAAAGACCAAATATTTTTTGGAATGATTTAAGTTGCCATCTGATTTCTATTGACCATTTTGTTGATTTGTTGCTGAAATCTGCTGAAATCGATTTGCTCTAGATTTTTAGACACTAAAATAGATCTGCTTAGGGGCTATTAAAATGCAATAAAAGGGATTTTGGCAAGATGCGGATGGATTTCAACAAAACGGAAAATCCATCCAAATCGATCATAAACTGATCCAAGAATTTCAAAAAAGATAGATTTAATTCGACCCATTTCTATTGCTAAAATGTAAATTGTTAATCGATTTGGATCGAATTAAAGACAATTGAAGAGCAATTTAAATTCGTTAAAACTGATCCGAAACCATTTTCATTAGCGTGGGATAAATTCTTCGAGACAAAAAACGTTTGCAGATAATTTTTTTTAATAGCAAGAAAATTAAACTCAATTTTTTTAATAGTAATTTTCATATATTTAACTTACAAAATTGAAAATGTTTGTTTCCTATTTTAATTTAATTAGGTTTAAAATTATCCCCGTAAAACTTTTCTACAAAACTAAACAAATTAATGCACGGGACAGAGTTTTTCGGGGAAAATCTTAAACCTAATTAAATCAAAATAGGTAACAAATACTTTCCAAACAAATAAAGATAAGAAAATTACTATTAAAAAAATTTGAATTTAATTTTCTTGCTAATAAAAACCTACAAAATTATCTGCAAACGCTTTTTTGTCTCAAATTTGTATTAATTTGTTTGGTTTTGTAGAAAAATTTTAGATTTGTGATAAAAAATATTTGAATATACTGACGAAGTTCTTGTCCTTGTTGTATATCCTGTGGGGTGCGAAGACTTCCGATCCCCTGTAGTCGATGGACACAATGGGGAAGCCACAAGTGATGGGATCCATGCGGGAGAACTCGTACACTGTGTGCACCTGTGGAACAGAAAATTAAAAAAAAACGAACAGGGTGCAAGTCTGATAGCTGGGTCCCTAACATTCAAATGGGTCCCTGAAGAGTTTTATCTTCAAGAAGATGGGTTCCTAAACCTTCCGAAGTAGGGTGGGCACTTTGTTTAATGGTGTTTTCGAAATTTTCTCTGAAATTCTGGGAGCTATCTTTCATACTTCTTATTTTCAGGGGGGAGATTGAAAGTTGCGAAAAAAAGATTGTTCATTTGGTTAAAAGTAACACTTTTCAGCCAATCAGATTTGAGCATGGTGCCTCACTGCTTGAATTTGCCATTTAGTTTTAGGTGGATGACTGTTACTCACCTCTCCTACGGGGTTCCAGCAGAAGTAGTTTAAAAGGTACGACTTCTGGTCTGCGCCGAAGTGCTTCTTCACTTGAATAACGTTCTCCCTTATTACTCTGTTGGGCAAATTGGTCTGGGCTGTGTCCCCCTCCCCCTGCCACCCCTCCCAGTCCACTCCGTCTTCAGAGTCCTCTCTCTGGTTGTTCATCATGTACATGTAGCTGCAATAGAGATTTGTTTCTTTTTCTCAGATGTCATTTATGAATCAAGTTGGATTCTAAGAAGTAAGCATTTTTAAAAAAAAACTTTTGGTGCTATTTTGATAATTAACTTTTTCCAATCAGAAATTTTTACCACGAGCTCTGAACTGATTTGTATTGAACACGAGGAAACGAAAAAAAAGTTTGCAGTTAATTGCGTCTAAAAATCGAAACTGAGTCACATTTAGTTTGAAACCGAAAACGAAAGCCCTTCACAATTTTTGTAATACTTTTTTCTCATTTGGGTACATTTTCCCTCCTCGTACTTGTCCCAAAAATAATCCCACCACGCTTACAATCCTTTCCCCATACTTAGCCTTCCTTACACCTGTTTAAAACCATCACCCCCCTCCCCCCTCCTCTTTTTTCTCCAAAAACTTCGAATTTTTAGTTAGCCATTACTGGCAGATTTTTGTCTTATCATCTGGAAAATTCTGATAACCGAAACTCAAAACTGAAAAAAATTTTATCATTCAGCAAATTTTTCTTACCTTAAAAGAGATATATTTTTGGGACTGCTTTGATCACTATAATTCAAATTGCGATTTTCAAGGAGCGATATTTTTAGTTCTAATAAATTTTACGGGGCAAATTAAATCTTTCCAAACTAGTATGAGGCTAGCAATTTACTCTTTTCAACACATCAGCAGATAAACATATGTCAATTTTCTTTTTCGTGGTATGTGCGAGGAATTATTAAAGAAAAACATTGCTTTTTTTATATTGTTTGCAGATTCCCAACAATTATTACGCAAATTTTTTTTCAACGACGCTAAAAAGTGGCTGGAACATTTAGATTTTTTCCTTGATACTGGCAGCCGTGTATGGTTATAAGGTTGAAATGAGAAGCCTTGTTGTTTTAGGACTTCCAACAGAGTAAAAAAATCATCTGCAAAACTTTTCAAAAAGTTATTATAAAAATTCTTAGAAAACTTCAATGTTTTTAATGCCAATGTAATTTTTCATAGATTTGTCACGACAGAACACGACAAAAAGCCGCTGAAAAAAATGCAATAAAAATCATAATTAAGCCTCCAGCCAGCAAAAATTCGGCAAGGTCTCAGATTCAAAACTACGACCTAGAGATTATGAATCTCACACACGAGCCACTCCATCACGGACGCTTAATATCTGCCAAACACAAGCCACAAATAAAGCAGAGAACAGATGCTATGAAATTTTCAATGCTATCACTTTCATTTGCGAGTTAGCTTAGAAAAAAAAGAAGGTTCGTAATAATACACTACGCTGATGGCTAGTGTAATAAACTGTAGGGAAGTTTTTTTTTTAATTTCAAATAAAACCAAAATTTTTAGCAAATTGAGAATTTGATTACTTATAATTTTACAGCGAAGTTTTTTTTGTGATTTTTTTTGGATTCAACATCACTCTTAAAATCAAATATTGACGCCACTAGCTGTTTCGTTGGCTCTTCAAGTAAGGGTGAAAGCTTTTTTGTAACTGTAATATACACACCCTTCGGATTTCTGTATCAAATGTTATATCAAAGTTTAAATTAAACTGACGCATTTTCATTGGCCCAGGCGTTGCTAGAGTTAGACTGACTGTTGCATCTGTCATATCCATTTCTCAGGTTTCCGTCGGGATCGGGTGCCTAATACAAACAAACATTTATTTCCGGTTTCCCACTTTTTTCGCTATTTTCCTGTCTGCGCACAATAAAATCTTAAGAAATAAAAACATTCTGCAAAGTCGTTGCATTATCTGAAGGAATTATTGACTAATCTTCCTTTGACTTAAGCTCTTTGCTGTCAAAATTTGTAAGTTCAAACTGAAATCATAAAAATTTTACCATCATTTGCAGATTCATTTAATCATAGGGAAGCACACAGTTTTGATTCGAAACTAAAATGAATCACCAAAAAATTTTGCGATGATTATCACTAAAAAATATCGAGAACTTTGTACCGTTTCTAAGATATGATTTGAAGATAGAATTGTTAGAAAGCTACCCCGGTGTTGAGATCTTCGCTGTCGTAAAAGGATTGCAGGAATGCCAGAGGCTGTGTGCATCCCTCGCAGAAAGTGAAGCAACAAGTCTTCCAACCTGAAATCAAATACTTCTTCCATTTTTACTCCAGCTTAAGAAAAAAACTTAAATTTCATCAAAAAAATTTGAAAAATTTTTGAAAAAAAAAAATGATTCCCGAATTTTTGATATCATAGCAAAAAAATTACAGCAGACGAAAATTCACCCGGTGCTACTTTTCAATTCATTTATTACTTGCTCAACCACCTGCTATTTTTGTTTAATTTAAAAAATTTGGTTGACAATTTTATTTAAATTTGACATTGTTGAGTTGTACTTACCCACATCTTCGAGTACCAGAGTGGCTTCGACAGTGTCCTCTAGCTTCCAAACTGAACTGACTGCCCTAACTTGAGGAACAGAAGGCGCCAGGGCAATTCGGTACACATAGCCATCGGAAGACACGATCGGGTGTAGAACCGCTACGTGAACAAACTAATTGAAGAACCCACTAGGGAATTAAATAAGATAATAGTACCATAGAAAGGGGAATTGTTTGAGTAGAGAGGAGCTATGAATCGCTGAGAGAAAAGGGAGCTCATGAAATTTTGCTTATGGTTTTTTCTATTAATTGCCAGGTATTCTTGAAACGATGTTTCAATAAATAACTTTTCAAGAATAACAAGAATTTCTGTAATTTATTTTTAACAAGTGGGAAAATTACCTGCGTTCGGGCCTGAATCATCGTTCTGAAGTGGGTGTGAAAGTCGCACTGCCAATGATCCCAGCTCCACATAGTTTTGAAGACCATAGGTCTAAATTGATGAAAATTGAAAGCAAAATGGAGAAAGTGGAACATTGATTTAGTTCTTCATAGGAGTGGTTCATAGGGGGATAAGGGGGATATGGGGGGATAGGGGGGGGGGGGGGTCGGGGGGGGGGTGATAGGGGGGATAGGGGGGACTGGTAGTTGAAGAGAACATAATTCCATATCAAATCATAGTTCTAAGACCAGTATTATCTTTGAATCAAATGGGGTACAAAAATACAAAGACGGCTGACTCATGCTTCTGGACAATATCTTTTCGAGCAAGAATTAACATCGAAAAAAAAAGATTCATAGTCTCTCACCTCACTACATATACTGAACCATTTCTGAGCCATTTTTAGTGAAATATTTCTAAACCCTTTCCAGGGGCGGATCTAGGATTTTGGCGACCTTTTTATTTAGGTCGACCAAATTGATTCTCTTCTCCGAGCCTCTCCTAAAGCTTTAAAAAGACGCTGTTTTGGCCAAATATTTTTTTGCTCCGCAGGCAATTTTTTGAAAAAACATGTCAAAAAAGCCGTTTTTGGGCACTTTAGAAAAATTTTGGTCGGCCAAAAATGGATTTCTCAAAAAGTACCAAAGGGGGGACCCTTTGAGTCGGCAGGGGGGCTGACTCTTCCTAAATCTTTATTTTTAAACATTATACTGAAACATTTTTTTTGAAAACTCTTTTGTCAGAAAATACTACATTTTTTTTGAAACAAGGTTTTTTCAAAAAAAATAGTGGTCCATTTTTTATGAAACGTTTTTTTTCGAAACATACTGTTTTTTGAAACAAAATTTCGGTAAAAACCGTTTTTGAAATCAAAACTAAAAACGGCAAGCTAATTAGCTTTTTTTGTACCAGAGTTATCTCTCTACATCTGAAGAACAAATATTCCGATTGAATTTTAGACTCAGTTACCGAGTAGTAGAATTTGTGTAATGCAACTGGTGAGTTGATCTTCACTTCTTCAGGCATATCTGACTCATCGTTCCACTGCCACTCAAAAGTTTGATTCACCATAGCTGAATAAAAATTACAAATTTTGAGATTTTTCTATGTAATCTTGTTGATATTTTTTATTTATAGTACGAAACAATCAAAACTATATTAAATTTTTGGAAACCAACTAGAAATTTGGGTCGGTCTTATCCTGTGGTACTCGTATTTGTTCAAGTGAACGAAGCACACATAAGTATTCAATTTAAAACAAGGATAGCCGGTTGCTGTGCGAATAGCACAGAAAGTTCCGACCATAGTCTAATAAAAATACAAAAAAAATCAAATTAGTAACGACTAAAAAGGCTTCTATATGATATATCACTCGACCCTATCCGATTATTATTTGTGGTACCTGATTTTGCGTGGGAAACCCACCCGAATACTAAGTTCCTCCCCATTTGCAAGGGTCGGAACAGTTAAATTCTTTAAGACAATAATGAGTTCGAATGAGTGACACAACGCGTTTTTTTCTGGTATTAAGTTTTAATCAATGATTTAATGGCGGTAGGCTAACAAGCCGAAGGGCCAACAAACCGACAATAGTATTACCACTCCAACAAGTGGAAAACTTATATTGTTATGCAACAACAACAGATTATCACTATTGCTATCCAGCTGTTAGGTAATTCCTACTGTTACGTAACAATGTCATTTCCGCTCCAAAATATGGCGGTTCGTAGACATGGCGGTTTGCTGATTATCCGCAGACTCAATGGTTTTAAACTAACTTGAAGTTTGATTCAATCAATATTTTAATGGTTTGAAACTAACTTGATGTTTGATTCAATCAATATTTTAATGGTTTGAAACTAACTTGATGTTTGATTCATTGTAATCCTGTGGTAGTGATATCTGTTCAGGTATATTTTGCAGTTGGTATCTGTGGTCGGATAGTCACACACTGTGGAATCAGATGGAAACGTGACTGGATCTTCTTCCATCACTTGTCCCTCTAGCATAGACACGAATTCCTCAATTTGCACGCCTGTGATTCTCTCGTAAACACACACCTACGAGTACGACACAACAAAACTTTTGTATCCTACGAGCACGACACAGCAAAATAATTTTTAACGAAAACCTATTTTTTTAAAACTTATTCCTGAAAAGAAACCGCTCAATCATAAAACTTTTGCTCATTATGATTCGAATGCCCGGAAAAATCTGTTTTTCTTGATTTCAAAACATGTAATTTTTTAAGTTAGAGAAGTTCGTATAGGCTACATGATAGCAAAAACAGAGAAATGCAATTAAGAGAATGTTTGCATAGGTCACAATAGAAAACTCAACAAGTCTTCGTGTTTTTGAAAAAAAAACCGATTGATGGTGAACCGGTTAAACTTTCACAAAAATGTTTGATAATTTTGATGCTTAATGCTATAACTATCCGTCAAAGTTAAGGGCTAGAATAAGTTTCCTTTAATTTAAACATTCCCATTGTTTTGATCAAAACTCCTCAAAATTTTTTATTCGGCTAGTTCACGCCACCACACTCAGGTTATAGCAAAATAAATGTTGGTTTATCAATTTTTAAGCTTATTTTCACGACCCAAATTTATCCAAAGTGTCTTCTGTTTTAATTGTCTAATTGTTTTGTTGCTAATGGAACCAGTTCTAAACTAGTTTTTATGAACCAATTATTTTATTGATAGATTATCACTATAAAATATTAATAACTAACCAATCATATTCAATCTCTAACATTGTCACTTATTTGTAAGTGCTGAAACTACTTGTAGTTTCAGCACCAGAACAATTTGAATAAAAATTTGAATACAGTTGTTCTCCTTCTGGATAAACTCCAAGACCTAGCTCGCATGAACCAGTACCCTCTAGATCCATGGAGACTAGGAGACATAAGAGTAAGATTTAGATAGCCACTTGAGGTCTAAATCAGAAAAACTGAAAGTTTTGTTGTCAGCTTCTTTTCTTGAGTTAAGATCAAAAGTAGACATTTTGTTAGATAAAGACAGATACCAAACATACAGGCACTTATTCACTATTTGTCATAAGATTGCCATTTTATCTATTGCATCTAGGTGGGCTTAACGCTCGCTCAAATTGACAAGAATAAACAGTCATAAAACTTAGCCTGGCGCTTAATTTTTACTCAGAAGCAAAAAATGTTAACAGAAAAACGTCAGTCTGGTTGAAAGACACCAGTTTTGATTAAATCTTAAAAAACTGGTTGAGAGACATCCGCTTCGTTAAAAGTTTGCCTAAGAAAAAGACAACTCCAAGCAACTTGAAAGATAGACGGAAAAAAATTAACAGTTATCCAAGTCATCCATAAATTTTTACAAGCGAGTCAGCAGGAAATCATTTGAGAGAGCACATACTGAGGATCTGGTCAGATGAAGAACTTTTTTTGAGATGGAGAACCTTTTCGTAAAATGAGATTAATTGAACGTGAAAAAAAAAACAAATTTTTGATCAAAACTTGGCAGCTAAAATCTCAATGTCATGTTTGCTATACAAACAGAAGAAAACTAAAATATGGCAAATGATTTGATAAATTGACCTGAAATTAAAAATTTTACGCGGAAAAAAGAGGTCAGGTCGGCGCATTTTGCTAATGGACAGGAGAACAGTAAAAACAAAAACCAGGGATTTAAAAATCAGACAATTGGGGGAACTCAAGCTGGCGAAAAAGCTGAATCGTCGCTTTGTGGGGATCTACACAGTCATCGTCCAACGCGTTTAAGGAGTGTCCTTGTTTTTATACCCACCGAAGACGGAGTGCGGACTGAGCCAAAAACAAGCAAAAAAACTGATTGATAGTTTTTCATCATATAAGTGAAAACAGAAGACAATTAATAGTAGCAACCAGAAACGAAAAAAGCTGGAAGCCGAAATTGAAGAAAAAGAAGGTCAAATGGCCGCAGCAAGGAACAAATGAAAGCTGAAGTTGAACAGCCCAGATATCAGAGAGAAGTGAGATTTAATTACACAAAAATTTTGAAAAAAATGCCGGTCAATCACAACCCATATAACTAAGTATACTTTTGCGAAACCAACAAATACGGCCATGTCAACTTATGGGTTCAAAGTATTGACCCTAATCAGCCAGCCATTGAGAGCAGGGCCAAGACATCCCGACACAGAGAGGTTTTTTTCGCGGCAATAAAACTTTTGATCCCTTAACAAAAAATCAATCAAATTCATTCATTTTACTTCAGTCCAAACAGCAATTATCAGCCACAGTAGCTCATGAATCAGGGTGACTTAAACTTCAAACTACTCTGAGCTGAAACTGGCGGAGTTCCAGTTTCAGCTTAGGTAGTTTGAATCGCTCGAGTTGTCGCGTTTTTCCTAGCAACTTTAGATAGCAAAAAGAAGCTTTAAAATAAACATAAAAACGCTAAAAGCCAAAAAAACTGAAGTGAAAATCCACGAATTGAGCTATTTCAAAGAAAAATATTTGTTAGTTTGGCAGAAATATAATAAAAATTTTTGAAGGTTTATCAGTTTAGCAAACGCACAACTGAAGAAAAATCAAAGTCGACCCAAAAAAAAACGCGCAATCGGTGTCATTCTAGAAATTTCTCAAGTTGTACCAAAATCAGTAAACTCCACTCTTGATTTCAATTATTTACTTTTTATTTGAGAAAAAGCAGTCACAATAAATCTCGCTAAGTTATTGCAGTAATTGGTTGAATAAAATAGCATCCGTGCACGTTGAATTGGTGATGCAGTTGTCTAATTCTACAAATCACTATTATTGAAATTTGGAGGAAATAATTTCAAGCAAAAAATCACCAATTTTTACAGGGTGCTCACAAAATATTCGAAAAAAGGAAAAGCAAGCAATCAAGGAATTGTCCAAACTTTTGAAATATTAATTCAATACGCGTAAATGAAAAGTATCCAAAGGTAAACTTGAGTGTCAAGCAAAAAAAGGTTAATCTTACAAAAATAAGTTCCAGCTCAAACCAAAAAAAAAGATTTCGTAGTTTTTGGAAATTTCCTGACCAACGTCGTCTTCATTCAGCAGCAGCGAACTGTTGCAGCTATTCAAACAGCCCTAGATTTTTTTTACCCAGAATAAAAAGTATGAATAGAAAAAATAGAAAAGAGCTTCTTTTTGCACCAACGGATTGATTGTTTCCCATATCGTTGAGAAATCTCTCAAAAACTCAAACTCATCGAATTAGGCAAGTGAGAGTAAGTTATCCTCAAATTCATGGACCTTCAAGCATGAAATTGATAACAGAGGCGAAGCTTAGCTTCGTGCCACTTGCGATTCAACACAATCTTAAAAAAGCAAAAGTCGAAAAAAATGAAAGTAATGAAAACAACTAGGTAAACCAAAAGTTTTCGTATTTCTCGATGAAGAACACCTAGGGCCCAGCTAAAGCTGGAGGTACATGATTGATATGTTCTGAATTTATTATACTGCTGCGGGACTTCAAAAAAGCTTTCAAAATTTGAAAATTTTTACTTGTTCGAAGTTCATAACTTCTTATAAAATAATAGCAAATTATAAAAGTAAGCTTCCATAATCTGATGGATAATTAAACCTATGATATCAGATTTGGCCAGATAGTTATAGAGAAAAGTCCGAAAACGATCGACACATCCTAAAGTTGACATTTCCGAGAATCATATCTTTTTGTTCAGAAAAATGGAGCGTAACCGCTTATGCAGAACAGATTAACGCAATCTCTTTAATCGATTGATTCAAAAAACCCAAGTTTAAAAGGGTGACTCTCGAGAAAAAAAAAATAATCAAAGTTTTGACTTTTCCAAGGACCAGAACTTTTTGTGACATTTTACTCTTTATCTCCATTGAACCCACAAACTCAGGTTTGGGAGGTTAGTGTTTGAGAAAATATAGAGAAAAATTCAAGAAACAGTAAAAAAAATCAACATTTTGTTTATTCTAAGGGCCATAATTTATGTGTGAAAAAGCCTTGGCGTAGCCGCTTATGGATTTTTCAAATCCGTTCTACTCATTGAAACCATAATCTCAGTTTTGTTTCTGACAAAACGTAAAAAAAAATCAAAAACATTGGTCAAATATTCCCCCACAAACTTTTTCGATGACTGTAGACAAAGGAGCAAAGCGCAAAAAAGACCAGTGGAGCATGCAGTCTACAAAAATGTAGGCGGTCTTTCTATGGATACCACTTTTGTGAAAATGGGTAGAAGGGATTAAAACTGACAAAATATTCCAAAGCTTCTCAACAAAATGAAGTAAACAAAAACCCAATACCATACACTTTCATATTACTTATTTTTTATCAAACAGGAATTCTGGGCAAAAATTCGAAGCAAGACATTTGAAAATCAATATAGCAGCTGAACAAACTTTACGAAAAGGAAACAAGGCCGACAATTTTTGACCAGACACCAGTTAACCCGAAAAAAAACTGATTTTGCAGCAGCATATGAAAAACTGATTTTGTTAAACTAGTTTTCAACCAGAAAAAAGTCTACATTTCGATTTGATATCGCTTGCTAATCGCAAGCGTCATCAAATAGGGATCCCTGTCAATGTAATCGCAAGCGTACTCAAATAGGTATCCCTGTCAAATCACAAAATTGGCCGAAGTCAGATCTATTCAGACTTTCAATCAGCCCTTCAGTTTAATCGGACCCGACAAAATTGAGTTCAAGAGTTGAAAAGACAGTACATAAACCTCTGGCTCGTTCCCAATTAGCCAATACGAATGAGAAGTAAACGCGTGATCCTAGATTAAGGTGTGTTCGGTCTCATTAGACCATTAAATAAAAAACCACGGAGTGAATATATTGCTAGGTTGATGGCAAGTTGGCGTTCATCGAAATAGCTGACCAAAATCGGCAACATCAAAGCATCTGCACAGCTAACCATCACAGGTGGCGTTACCTTGGCTAAAAAACTGAAAAATATGGACATGGAGTGATAAGCATCCGACTTCTCAGTGAATGGCGGATCAAAAACCATTAAAGTGGCCATATGCAAAATGCAATCGAGCACTTATCGAAAGTGAAAAAACGAGTTTGGACATTTTAAAAAAAAATTTTGTCTAAATTTGTCTGAAAAACGAAATAATTTGGACTGCGTTTTCGCCGGTGCTTAGACAGCGCTTAAAAACAGCAATCAGGGTTGAAAAAGCTGCAAATTGATTACCTGAATCCCACGAGCTTTCTTTCAAGTGTTCAAATTCGGCTGGAAAAAGCTCAGAACTCTGACAGTGGTCGTCGGAGCAGTTAAAATTTTTGAATTGCGTGAGCAGTAACCAGCCAAGTCGAGATATTGCTGAAAAACCGCCCAAAAACTGCAATGAGAACCACCCCTAATCATGCTTGAAATTTTCTCCAACTTTGTTAGAAAAACGCCTAAAGCAGGTAAAGGTTACAGAGCAGTTTTTGAGCGTGTGTTTATGTTTATCCTCCACATTATTCCAACAGTGCTTAGAAAAACTGGTGAAAAATCTCAGTGAATTCACACTCAATGAAACATCTGATCACGTGTTTTGACTCACCCTTTGCTTGAACCGGATCATCGAAATGACATTGCTGACAGTAAGCGTCACATTGCGACATCCACTCGAAGTGTAGACAACATTAAACACTATGGGGTTGCTGGGAGTGTGCGCACCAGACACCAAATCCACTGATTGCAAGTCCTCGACATCGGGATCCCAGTCGAAGTACGCAGTCGCATTGGTTGGAAAAAAGTCTACAAAGTGGGCGGCCTCTGCTGTGGGGATTATAAGACTGACGTCCAGCACACCTGTAATTAATTTGAAATTATTTAAAATAATTTGCAAAATTTATTTTATGCGTAAAAAAAGTGTTGATTTTTATTGAGCCACGTCATTTGGAGATACCAAACTCTTCCGAAACCACGAAAAACCCAATTTTGCAATGAAAAATTAGCATAACCGACAAACTTAAAACCGACAAAAAAAATTCTGAGAAAGTTTTGGAAATTGAACTTCATTTGGGGAGCTCATACTCCTCTAAATCAATGTACATAGTCACCGCAAAAATTCAGCCAAAATGAACCCCCTCAATTTAGCCTTCGGAGCCAATATAACTAATTTTGAGGGGGAGCGCTCGCCGAAAAAACGCATTTTTTGTCATCATTTTCCAAAAAGTGCCCAGAAACGACGTTTTTTGGCCTGTTTTTTGAAAAATTTGCATACAGCGCAGAATACTATTGACAAAACAGGATTCTTTTAGTTTTTTCGGAGAGCTCGGAAAATCAAATTAGTCTACCTTTAAAAAAAAAGATCCACAAATTTTTCAAAATTTTTCGAAGCCCCCCCCCCCTAGAAAAAATTATGCGCACGCCTCTGGATCATTCAAATGATTTTTGAATTGTTTTGATTATTTCTAAGATACAAAAAGCATACTAGTTGAGCTATAAAGCAATGGAATACCACTGACAGCTCTGTTTTAGCTTATAAACTCTTTTAATAAAAATTTGAAACTGTTAATTATAAAATTACTAACCATCTTGATTGCCTAGCAACGGTGTGGCCCCGCACAAACACCCAATGGCGGCATCCGAAAACTCAACTTCATATTTGTCGAGTACAGGGTGCTTCGGCTTCACATTCCAACAAACCTCGGCGTTAGACACTTCGTTTTCGACTTGAATGCAGACCTCGAATGGGGTAGTAGCCAGATAGACGTGGTCGAATTCGGTAGCTTTTATGAAGTCCTCGTTGGTCAGGGTGTCTCTATCGTCTCCCCAACTAATGCTGATTTTCAAACCGAAGTAGAATGCTGAACAAAATTTAATTTTCATAGTTAAATGAGGTCAAAGAGAAATATGATAATTTAAAAATCGGATTGGATGGTCCGCATTAATGAATTAAGACTATACTATTCAGCGTCGAACCTCACAAAGATTCCGCTTTGGCCTTTTTAAAAAAATTAACTTGTGGACTCGAACGTAATCTAATTTTGAAGAAGGAAGCGGCGCCATAAACTTGCGCAAAAAAGAAAGGCGTTCCTAGAAATGGCGTTTTAGTTCATTCTATGAATCGATTAGCAATCGGTAATTATTATTATTAATTAGCAAAATCAGGTTAGAGTTAGGAGCGCGGTCAACAAGTAGACTTCTAATCAAGCAGACAAAGTCGTAAGGCAATCACAATTGAAATAACAAAACAAACGTACAAATTATTTTCTATTCTCTTTTATGATTGGCTTACGACGTATATTCCAGGAGAGTTGTGAGAACGAGCCCAGCAAATTGTTTGATATACCCATTTCCTCGAGACAACCTCTTATTGCCTCTTAAAAAGCGGGACAAGGAATTCAGAACACTGATTTATACGAGAAATCAAATCGACTATTAGTTGGGTGGAGTTCTGAATCGTTGATTCCTGGTAAATAATCAAATATTTATGTGACGTTTAACTTCATAAGAGACGAGCCGGGTGTTTTTGTTCTACCAAATTTTAGTTTTTTAACGATGATCTTTATAGATTGAGACCAAACTCCTTTCAATTTCAAGATTCACAGGAAAAACAAAAAACTTCAATTAACTTTTTGTTCTCTCCCCTCCCCCCACAGGAAGAAAATCTTGGGTGTTTTCTGTTATACAGCCCAAAAATTATATTTTTCATATTTTGATAATTGTATCATTATACTCAAATCTGATTGGTTGAAATTACTTCCAGCAAAGAAAACCTGGATTCTCAATGGAAAACAGAAGCTCAGTTAATACTATGTCATATATTTGGGCCGTATGACAGAAAAGACCCGAAATCTTAATGAAGACCAAACGTACCTGCTGGATTATCAACATCCACTTTTATTTTGTAACTGGACAGTGTTTGTGCGAAGGGGTGAAATGGGTACAAAGGGGTCACCAAAATGTCTTTGATGCCCTCGTGAACAAACACCCTGAACTGGTAGTAATACACGGGCACGTCTGTCTTCTGAACCCCGTCGATGACGTCATCGACTAGGAGGTCGGGATCGTCGTTGAATTTGTCAGCTGTCACCCAGATCTCAACGTCATAACTGAGGTCATAGTATGGCGCCCTGAAACAGAAACTCAAATGATGGACTTATTGTAGGAAAAGTGTAAGATTTAACTAAAAATACTTTTAATAACACAAAACTTCGCTGGTGCACAAAACGTCGCACTAGCAAGTATAAAAAAATCCTCTGCGGGGAACGGCGCAACTAAAGTGTTTCGAAAGCTAAGCAACTTGCTAAATTTTTTTGTCAGCCAAGACATCCGAAATTTGTCAAAAATTTGAGCTCATTAGTAAAATTTTTAATTTTTTTTTAATCCTTGGACTAAGAAAGACAGAAAGGAAAGAGTTAATTTCTCCAAATCACTGTCATCATTCAGTTTTAATCAACCATCATTTAAAGGTGGCAGGACAATCTACCCTATTCCAAACTACCCTATACCATTCTACCCTATGCCATTATACCCTACATACCAATCTACCCTATACCAATCTACCCTATACTAATCTACCCTATACTAATCTGCCCTATATACCATAATGAGGTATCATAATGTAATCTTTCAAAGTCCTAATTAGAATCGGAAAGATACAGCACGTGTTAATTCATTTGAGTCTAAATTTTTGGACTCAATTTTGAGTCTTTCACTTAAGGAAATTGTTCTAAAGACTAAATCGCAATTAGAGCCTCAAAATCTGAAATTTATTTCAATTAACAAGTTTTAATCCCCAATTTTCAAAATCACGTACAAGAATGAAACCAAAACTACGTCATTATATCAATTTCCCTTGGAATAACATCTACTAAAATGAGTCAAATTTCTTGGGGTTTATCCCAACAGAATTGGCGAACGCTTGTAATCGGTGGCCACGAGTTTACGAAAAAACAGGAAACAAAGAATGGAAACATTCACTGGAAGTGTTCAAGATGGGGGTCCCATAAATGCAAAACGACAGCAATAACCAGAGAAAACGATCTCATTTCCTGTAGAAATGAGCACATGCACGAAGTATTTCCTGGTCGTTCGGATGCAAGGCTTCTCGTGCAGAAAATGAAACAGGACACAAAAATACAGCAAGTACCAGTCAACAGCATAATTATAGCAAACGGCCTGCAGTCTGTCTCCGAAGAAAAAGCAGTTCAATTAGCTCTTCCTTGCCGGTCGGCTATTAACCGGGCCCTCAATCGACAGAAGGTAAATGATAGACCCACGTTGCCTCCAATTGTCGACAGACATTTTGAAGTGCCAAAGCAACATGAGGATTTTTGCGTCTTCGATAGCGGCATTGAAGATCCAGAAAGGGTGTTGATTTTTGGAGATCGGGACAATATCCAGAGTTTGATATTACATCGAGATGTTTGGCTGTGTGATGGAACGTTCAAAGTTTGCCCGATTCAATTTTATCAACTCTACACCATCCACATTCAACTCGCTGGCTTTTACCCCCCCCCCCTGCATTTATGCACTGTTGCCCAACAAAACAGAACACACTTACAAAAAGCTACTGAAGGGGTTATCAACCATCACCGAAAACACCGAGCCTCACCGCATTCTCCTCGATTTTGAACGTGCAGCACTGAACGCTTTCGCTAGTCACCATACCGGAGCGTTGCTGAAAGGCTGCTATTTTCATTTATGTCAAGCGTTCAACCGGAAAATAAACGAAGTGGGCCTGAAGCGACTGTACGAAACTAATCATGATCTCAATTTGTCATTGCGCTTAATTCCAGCCCTAAGTTTCGTACCAGTTGAAATGGTCAATGCTGCTTTTGACTTGGTCATTGAGGAAATCGAAAACGTGTCGGACAAATTTGATCTTGACGACAATATCACTCAAAAACTTGATGAGGTAGCCTCATACTTTCAGCGCACCTACATTAAAGGCGAAACCATCGGAAGGAATTCTCGCGAACCTCTCTTCCCAGTAAACCTTTGGAATCATTCCGAAGAAGCAGCTGCTGGGTTAATAAGGACACTTTTTGAGGTTCCCGTGGCCGTAGAGGGCTGAAATTTTGGGAGGTAATAGAGGCCAATACCAAAAGAATTTTACCTTCTCCCTCACCCCGCCCCCCAGTACCGCCTTGGCCTGGTACTGGGGGGTCTACCCCTCCTTTTGTGATCAACTAGTCAAACCCTCAGTAATTTTCGAATTTCATTCAAAATTTGACTTGTTGGTGATTTGATCTTTAGAGCTTTTGATTTTCAAACACAGGCATTATCCGCTATGCTATGTCGACTTGATGTGATATGACTTTTGTTTGTTTAAGAAATAGCCGCAACGCATTTCTATAGCAACATTGGATTAAAATTTCTGTTCGTTCATGCTTTGAACTCATTTCCATTTTGAACGCGCAAGTTTTACGTTGCTTTGATATTTTGTTCACGTGCGTCAATTATTCTTTGATCATAATTAATGGTTCTTTGATTTGTTCGGAAATATACTGTTTTGGATTCTTCAAGAGGATGGGGTAAGTTTCAATTGCTTTAATTATAGGGTAGAATGGTATAGGGTAGATTGGTATAGGGTAGATTGGTATGTAGGATAGAATAGTATAGGGTAGATAAGCATAGGGTAGATTGGAATAGGGTAGAATGTCATGGAACCCATTTAAATACGAACAAAATTCATTTTTGGAACAATTTAACAACATCAACTTTATCAACTCTAGACAATGATTGGAGAGGATAGATTAAGGGCAAATTCAATGCCCACTATTTGTCTACCCTGTATACGATTGAAAGAAAACAAGTGTAATTAATAATATTATTAGTGTTATTAATTATTAAATTATTTGAAAAATGGAAACTGCGTTTATTGATACGCGCTCCTCCTCAAATTTTATGCCTGTTTGGAGCCCAAGACACCTTCAGAAAAAATAAGAGATAGTTGCCCTATAAAAATCAAAAATATTATCAATGTAAAATTTTTTGGAAAATTTTGGCAACCAAAATTGAGGTCCCCGCCCTCGCTCGCACTTCTCTGATTGGAGTTCGTTGAACTACATACCTACAAGGTTTGACCAACTTTTTTTCTTGGATTAAAACGCGATCATAAAAGATGATTTCTTGGAACCTTCCTTGTCAAGCTCGCTTTTCCCGACTCACGGAAGAAGATTAGTGAGATTGATGGTAGAAACTTGGGCGAGGTGTCCCTGGAATGCCCACTTGATGCCATAGCCAGTGTCGCTTGTGCCCGGATAACTGGCCACGTCAGTTCCAGCGGGGTCGCCCTGGAAGGGACCGGGACCAGACGTGAACTAAAACACAAAATGATTGACGATTTCCAAATTTTCTCTGGTCTCGAAACTTTTGGGTGTTGGCAAATGTTTGAAACTTCACTGATGCGACAGGGCTTACAGTGAAAGCTGGCCAATAGTGATTGGGTGTTTAAGTTTGTATTTTAAGTGGCTGAATTTTCCTAGCTAACATTGAAACACTTTTTTAGACCCCAGAGCCAAGCAGTAAATTAGGTACCAAAGAACGCAATAGGACTAGTAATTTTGACAGTTGTCAACAGAGCGTTGGAATTATACCAAAAAACACAAGAACCACGAATTGTTTTTGAAGCATTTGCAAAGAAACAAACTAAATGACCTGAAAGCTTTTACACTTTCGAGAATATTCAAAGATTGGCACCATTTAGAAAGAGCTAACCTAATTTGAGAAAACAGAATTAATAAGTAAAAAAGTTTTTTTTATTCCGCTGATAAATCTAAGACATAATATACATCATAAAAACAAAGTCAATCTCACTTTTGCGAGATTTGAGCTTTCTTTGTTGGAGAGCGTAATTTTTGAAACAGTAAGGCTGCTCATGTCAAAGCTAACTTTGACATTTTTGACTGCTTTTCGACATCTATGAAACAGTTTTTGAATTAAACATTGATGGCATGCTTCAGAAAAATGAAAAGATTGGATTTTGGATCAAGTTAACATCCTCCCCCCAAATAGACCAAGTAAAGATCCTCCACCCCAGCGCTTAAATTAAATTAAATTTGCTAAGGGCTGCATGTAAAATGCTCGATTCTGATTGGCTGAAAATTCCCAACTTAGAACCAAGTTAACATCCTCCCCCCTAAACGTGTTTAGGGGGGAGGATGTTAACTTGGTCCTTGATTTTTTAAAATCCTCTCAAATGTTATTTAAATTACTAAAAGATGTATTTAGCGTCCATTAACGTATTACTAAGACCAAATAGGTATAGTCTCAATAGATTTTGGATAGTAGGTTTGAGAGCCTGATTAAGTTGTTAAGTCGCTTTAATCACACAATTGATTAGTTAATAGCATGATTCAAGATTTCTACTTGAAAAGAGAAAAAAAATCTCGAGAAAAAGTTACACCAATCACGAACATCCCACCATTTTCTTAAAAAGTAGATATATTTGAATGTTTCGACAGTTTTATGTTTCGACAGCAACATAATGAGTGCATTCACGTTGTTGCGATTGAAAAAAAAATGTTCAATTTTTTGACGTGAACTTGTGTTCAGCCTCTATTTTATACATTGGCTCGCCAATGGCAGCTAATTAACCACCAGCTACCGTTGTTGTCAACTTTGCAACGCAGGTCTTTAAACCGTATAAAGAGGTCAAACATTCACGGGAATGCTTTCACACTCAACTTCATTCGAATGTTTTCAGTTTAAAATTATATAATCACCATTTATGTTTAGCTGCTGGAAACGTCGCTAGAGTTTTCATGGTTTTTCACGTAGATTTTTAAAATTGTATAAGCATTAACAAAAAACTAAAAATTTTCGAAAACTTCTCCTAGTTTTGTTGGTTGTGCCAAAAGTGGAATTAAATTAATCGAATAATTTAACTAACACAAAAGATACTCTGGAAATGCAAACACAGTTGATTCTTTTCCTCAACCGAGGGCGGCTGAAAAAAAAAACATTTTAGATTCTTCAATTTTGAAAAAACTAGCATGTTGGATTTTTATTTATTTAAAAACTGAAAAAATATAGAGAATAGTACACTGTTGGCGTTGGCAGCGTTAAAAGATCTACTTTTTTAGGAAAAAAAGCACAAAAACGGTAGCAGATCTGGAAATATTATTGTTACATGTCAAACGATTGGTGTTCTCCGTGGGGACAGTATAGGGAGGGGGGATACGTGACAGTAAGAACAACATGAAGCTATAGTAGATTCATGAGCGTGAGCAGAAATTTTTATAGTCGGGGGGGGGGGGGGCGGTTTTTCAAAAAAAATGAAAATTTTCACGACTTTTTTTTTAGATCGACCCATTTGATATTCCGAGCTAAAACTATAAAGACCCTGTTTTGTCAAAAATTTTCTGCGCCCCAGTCAATTTTAAAAAAAAAAACAGGCCAAAAAAGGCGTTTTTAGGCACTTTTTGCGCTCCCTCCTCAAAATTATTTATATAAGCGCCAAAGGCTCCTTTAGAAATAGTTTGAGGTTGTCCAACGAAAATGGATGTCGTAAAATTATACCAAAGGAGAGACCCTTTGGAAAATTTTGGCAACCAGAATTGAGGGGGGGGGGGGCACGCTACTGAAAAGATTATAAACTACAAGTTTTTTCAATGTTTAGGACCGTGGCTATTATTCTCATAACAGATGGACCGAATTCGCGAAAACTTTCAATTTATTTTTGTCTTTTGACAGTTTTTGAGCATATATTTTGAAAACTTTAAGAAAACTTGAAATTTCAAACTTGGTAAATAAAATTTTTGGATATTTGGTCCTTCTGGCATGAAAAACTTCCCCGAACACCACCCACTCCGCCATCATACATTATTAAATTGAGTCGATGAACTAGCATAAAGTTCTTATAGCATAATAAACATCTTCATTACCTCATAGACGACATCAGTAGAAGTGGAATCCACAGTGTAGTACACTTTGGCAGTTCCAGGGTCTAGTGCCAGAATATACCCTGGATAGACACGGAAGTGGTCCGGCGCCTCGAAGGTTCCGAGATCGAGTTTGTATATTCCATGACACCCACACCCACTTGCGCAGTCGGCGTCAAGGGTGACCTTGGAAAAGATAAAATAAAGTTCAGAGCAAAACTAGCAACAAATTATTTTGAAAAAAACTAGGTAGTTCAAATTGAAAAACTCGTGTTCACTTAGCGAACTTCGCTTAGACAACTCTAGCCGAAAAATAGTTAAGCAATTTTTGAAAACCCAAAATTGTCATCATTACAGATAATTTTTTTTAATTTGATGAACTTTCGACTTGTTGGCCCATCACCCGATTACAACGAACTTTGGTTGCAAAAATTTTATACTGTACAACTTTGAAAATATATAGTATAAGTTTTTTGCAAACAAATTTCATTGTAATTGGGTGATATGCCAACAAGTCGAAGAGCCAACACACCAAAAAAAATACCGTTATAACAAGCCAAAATATAATAATGTTACGTACTTAACAACAGATTTTCAATGTTGTTATGCAACTGATGCGAAATTTTATAGCAATTTTTGTTATGCTGATAAAATTTCGGATTTTGGCTTCAAATTATAGCGGTTTGTAGATATGGCGGCTTGATAAACATCCGCCTGTAATCGATCATTAAAACTAAACAAGACTGCTCGTATCAGGGCGAAGCCCTGAATGTTCCGACTGCCTTTTAAGGTTTATGGAGCAGCAGTAATAACATAAAAAATTAAAAGAAATAAAATAAATTGAAATTTTTTTTTCTAAAATTTGAATTTTTTTAATGAAAATCATCCCCCCACACGCCAAATAAAGTACAAAAAGATAGATTTTCTTCCTTGTAACAAATCAATTATGGCAAATAAGCTTCCTTGTACCAATTTGGAACGATTTATAAGACGGATTAAATCTCCGCTAACTCGTTAATAGCGCGAATTATATCGCGCGTTAATTGTCCCAAATTGGTCAAAATGGCAATCTTTAAACCCTCATAACTTTACGAAAAATGATCACAGGTGAAATATCTTTTCAAATTTAAGCTCAGGACAACAATAGCTTTCGAATGATATAAAAAATTCCGTCAAAAATGGCTAGTTAAAAAGTCGAAATTTGTCTGAAGAAAAAAAAAACCCACCCCGAGCACAAATATTCCGTTACTTTCGTTTCGAAAGTCGGAACAATAATCGAAGTTTCACTATCTAAGTTTACAATAGGTCTGAAAACTGTCTATTTTTCTGCATATAATAGACTTTATCTTATCCATTTTTATCACTGCGGATAGATAGAAATCTTTACTCTAACCCTCCCGTACCCAGCAGATTTTCTATATATTTCTTGCAGAATTTGATTCTCAGATCTGAAACTTGGACCTGAAATAGGAAATTTCAGATTTGAAATTACTTTGCAAAACAAAATTTAAGATCTGAAATTAAATCTGAGAAACGCTTTGTTAAATTATATAATATGCATTCGAAGGAAACAATTGAGTTTTCATTTTTTGCTGTTTCAGAAATACACAATAATATTTTGATTAAATACCGGTAAAAAAAAATTCTCAAAATTTAGACAAACAGTTTTTTCTTCAAACTAATTTTATTGCTCAGCTGTTTTAAAAAGTTTTTAAAAATTATTAACAGACTTATTAAAAAACTATTTAAAAATTATTCAAGCACTTTAAAAAATATATTTTGGTTTTCATACGCAACTTATGCGTTTCCGATGTTTATCTCATGTTTCATGCTTTGCGAACTATATTGCAGCAGTCTACGGTTGGAGACTTTGCGGAGTTCCTGCTAGCAGCTAGCAGAAGCTATAAAATACTGAAAAATAGCGAAAACTATGTCTGAATCATTGTTTTATTTAAATCTGAAAAAAAAACAAAGAAAAACTAAAGTTGAGATCTAAAATTAGATTTAAAATAATTTTTTTAGATCTGAAATAACCAAGAAAAACAAAATTTCAGATCTGAATATAGATCTGAAATAACCCATTCTTAAATTATTCAAGTGTTATTTTAAAATTTCACAACCTTGTTCAGATCTGAAATTTAGATCTGAAACATATTTTTTTCAGATCTGAACTGGAACTTGTACTGGGTGTATGTTAGCACAGTTACAATTTGTGAGCTTCCCGGCTATAATGTCCATTAAACACAACAATGCGATAAGCCAACTAGTTCGCTCGCAATTGGCTAACTAATTAATAAGAAATATAGGGCCTGAAACCAGTCTTCATTTATTTTCAAATACCACAATTTTTGCCTATTATAAATATATTAAATTGTTTGTTTTTAGATTCCATTCATTAAAAAATTCAAATCAGTTTGAGAGAACGCCGAGGAACTTTGCAGCCTGTGTTCAGGCACCTCAAATCTTGTTTTGACCTGAATTCTTCTTTTACTTTCGTAGTTAATAATAAATCATAAATTATTTTCAGGCTGGCAATTGAAAAAAATGCCAATTTTTGTTGATTTCTCAAAGCAGTATCAAGCTTGATAGAACCTATTAGACCATATGCTTTGTTTTCAGACGACCCTGATGAAATTGTTTTATAATCAGAATATCAAAGCTATTTGGAGCAAAAAACTGAAAGTTCTCGAAGAAAGTAACTCACCGTCCATTCCGCATCTGGAACCATAGTGTACCCCACGCCATTGAACGCCTCAGACCGATTGGCACTCCTGCACATTCCGTCGGTACACCCTCCCCCCAACTGACAGAAGGCGTCCCCACAGTCGCTTGAAAAGGGGGGCAGGCAGGGATCTCCCTCGGCAAGACATTCCATTGTCTCGTAGCAGTACACTGTGCCACCCGCACAACTCGGCTCGTAGAGCTAAAAAAAAAGTTAGCATGATTTATATTCAAACTATTTTTTTTGGTAATCAAAAAGTAGTTTCAACATCAAGTTCTTGTTGACTTCTAGACAGTGTATAGCAGTCATGGTTTCTTCAAATTAACAAAATCAAGATGAAACTGAACCGTTTAAGTGGGATTTAAAAGCCGTATCCTCAATGTTTCATCTTAGATTGAAAACTTTAAACGTACTTACTTACCAAAAAAAGTGTCAGGAAACATATTGATAAAAAATTGATTTTGCTTAAATATCTATATACATTTTTGTTTTTGTTGTGCTCTTAATGATAACAACAATGACTCACCTTCTGTACTTTTTGAACGACAGAGAAAATTTCAACCCAAGAAACAACTTTATGTGACATAATAGAAACTCCAGAAAAAGCCATCAAAAATTTCCTTTGACGACGCAAACACATTTTTTTTTCAAAAATTACCAAAGGTTTAAATTTACCCTGAATTTGATCACGTCTCCAGCTGATGCTGCTTTGACGAAGTACTCGAACCCTTTGAGGACTCCCTCGCAGGAGAACTGGGCCTTGGGGTCAATCAGTACCTTCCCTCCCCCAGTGGAATAGAAGTAGGAACTCTCGGGACGGTAGGACAATCCGAAGGAGGCATAGTCCACACAGTTAATTGTCTGCATCACTGGGTTACCCGCCAAACAGTGATACGGGTCTAAAACAAAGACATATTTTTTCCTGTTAGGTGGCACACTTTTGCAGTATAGAATTACGTTTTTCATCTTTAGCTCTGGGTTTTTCTCTTGAACCATGTCGGGCTAGCGCACAACTAGCTTGAGCAGGTAGCTGTTTTGATTACAGTAAAAAAGAGCACCACAGGGACAGTAATTTGTCCTAACAGAGGATACGAAAAAAAGCGAACCAACTGACAAAGTTTTTGAAGAGCTCTCTTATTTAAGTTGAGGTGGAGTCTCCTGCTTTAATAAGTGTTCATTCGGGCTGACTTAGGAAATTGTCAATTTGGCTAATTAGGGACAATTAACGCTCGAGATATTTCATGAAATTAACGGATATGCGGCTGTTTATTCAGCTCATAAATCGTTCTAAAATTAATTGACGCAGACTATTTGGTGTTATTTATGAAATCCTGGACGCTAAGACCATCACTTTGTATCTGACATTGCGTGCGGGGGGATGTAGATCTAAAAAAAAAACGAACATTTTTTTTCAGTATTTTCAAAAATTATGTCAATTTTTTCAGTTGATGTTTTCAAAAACAGTTTCAAAGAAGTTGAAGTGCAAATGTAACTCTCAGGGCTTTACCCTGGCATAAAAACTCTTGTTTCGAAGAAAATGACGGAATTTTTGTCCTTCTCCAGACCAATTTGGACTTTTTAATTAGCAATTTTGGACAACATTTTTTGTACCATCCAAAAATTATTGTTGTCTTGAGCTCAAAATTTAGAGGATAAATCATATTTTTTTAAATTATGGGGGTTTGATTTTGCCAAAACTGGCCAATTTAGGACTGTTATTTGCGATATATTTCGTGCTGTTAAAGCGTAATCGAAGATTTTATTGTTCCGAGTTTTGATTAAAACCGAGTATATATAACTGGTGTTTTTTTAGTCAGTTTCGGCGATCGAAATAATAGTTTTTAACAAACGATTGTTATGCCCAATTGAAGATAGCGACTACCTGAAATCAAATTATAAAATATATTTTACCTCCGATCATTTTTCGTAAAGCTTTGGGAGTTAAAAAAATTTGGCAATTTGGCCATGCTCTGGATTATTTTAGTCGCGCTTGAAAATTTTATTCATAATTCTGAAAGCGTAACGCAAAATACTTATGCGTGGACAACTATTCTACGCAACAAAATTGCTCCAAATTGAATTGAGGCTAGCTAATCGGTCGCATTAATTTCGTACGACTCAAATTTTTACATTTGTTCTTTAAAATTGTCCGAAAATTCTATATAGATTAAGGGGAAGTCGGAACACTCAGGTTTACGAGGAGTCTTTGCCCTAATTTACGAGGAGTCTTAACCGTCTTAGAAATCGTTCCAAATTAAACTGAGGCATGCTACTTAGTTTATTGATTACTTTGCTATATGCGAAACAAATCACTTGGTACGTTACATAGCGTGATGCGTGGTGATTTTCAAAAAATCTCACTCAGAGTCTTATGAAGTAATTCTCATTTGTTCCGATTTTGTAACGAAAGTAACAGAATATTTGTGCTCTATGTGGATTTTTTTGTCTTCAGACAAATTTCGACTTTTTAACTAGCCTTTTTTGACGGATTTTTTTTTCATCATTCAAAAGGTATCGTTGTCCTGAGCTTGAATTTGAACAGATATTTCATCTGTGATCGTTTTTGTAAAGTTATGGGGGTTTAAAGATTGCCATTTTGGCCAATTAGGGACTTTTAACACGCGGGACTATTAACGCGTAAGCGGAGATTTAATCCATCTTAGAAATCGTTCCAAATTGGTTGAACGAAGCTAATTTGCCCTAATTAGTTTGTTACTAGGAGCTTAATTTATTACTTTGACTTTTATATGGCGTGGAGGGTTGATTTTCACAAAAAGTCTCAAATTAAAAAATAGTAAAATAATTTTTTATTACATTTAATTTTTTCATGTAATTACTGCTCCGTAGACCTTATAAGGCAGTTGGAACATTCAGGTCTTTGCCTTGATACGAGCAGTCTTGTTTTCTTTTTGAGAACATTTCATTATTATTCTTTAAAGCGAGCACTACTCCATAGACCTTAAAAGGCAGTCGGAACAATCAGGGCTTCGCTGATTCCGCAAAATCTGTTCCAATTCAGAAATGTTTCAGCGCTGATTAACCACTGAGATTTTCAGCGCTGATTAAACGATATTGGATAACCTGCCACTGATCAAGAACTGAATCAGCGATTGCAAACTCTTTAGATTGTGAATAAATTAACTATTGGAAACTGATTTGTTCTTCATGCCTTTATGCAGTCTATTGTAACATATGACGAGTTTAGCCATGATGACACCTAAAACGATTATAAAAAAAGAAATCTGAAAGGTTGGCATATAATACTGCTTCAAATCAAAAATTTCCAAACAATCCTCAAAGATGATGGCCATTCTAGGGTTTTCGCAGATATCAAAAATTCCGAAATGGCTGACCAAAAAATTGAAGAAAAAAAACAGCCGCTGTCAAAAATATGCACACACCACTGAGCAAATTTTATCAAAGGCACGAAGGAATGTTTTCAATTTTTTTCAAACACCTCGAAAATGTCAATAAAGCGTTAGGAAAACTCATTGCTAACGGGGTAAGATATAAAGTTTCACAGTTACAAGAGCTGTTCGGGCGAATACCTTAAAGCCAGAAGGACCGAAAATACTGTTAATCAATCAGAATTCAGAAGAAAACTTGCGAATATCAGTTTGCAGGACAGTTAAAAAGAGGATGTTAACTGAAGATTTTCGTGAATTCGTTTTTGATACCCCCTTTCGTCCATCAAAACCCCTTTTCTTAATGTTTAATTTCTGAATTGATGGTTGTAATTTGGAGTCTCATTAACTATATCCCTCCCTCGGGTACCTGGAAACGATTGTAGCCCTTTTAAGAAAGAAATCAACGATTAAGCAAATAAGAAATTTAAACCTAGAAATGAATCCCCCCATGCAGAAGAGGGATATAGTTCAAGAGATCCCTAATTATTAATCAGAGTGACAATTATCCAAACGTAGAAGTCGCGAGCACAGCTACAAAAGTACAGTGTTTTCTCGAGATCAACACTGTACTGTTGTAGCTGTGCTCGCGACTTAGACGGGAGTGCGCACTCAACCTCTCGAAAGTAAATTTCTTACTCATAACAAAAATCCAATTTTTGAATCACTGCTATGAATTTTGGCGAACCAAATGCATGTTCATGTCAAAAAAAATCAATACTTTTTTATTTTCAATTTAGAAAAAAAATTGAAAAATGAAAACATAGTAGTATATTTTGGTTACAGCTTCATCCATTTAAAAAGAATAATTTAAACCGTTGTAGAAGCGTTCTACCAACGTAAATGCAGTTGAATATTGCTACCAACTGAGGGCGCCTGAAGCAAATACATTAGAATTATTCAAATAAAATAAACGCAAACTTGTTAATATGGATACACATTACGCAAACTTGTTAATATGGATACACATTACAAAAAAAAAACGCACGTGCAATATAGTTGATGTTTTTGCCTTTTGATTTCTACATTTTGAAAGAGAAAAATCTAATTTTTTTTCAAGTATACCTACGGGTGAAGGCTTTTTTGCCCCCCATTGAGTAAAACCAAGTCATGAGTCAACAACAACTGACGGAATCTCAGCTACCAATTACTCATGAAGTGCTGATTGAAACGGAGACAAATTTCAGAAATGCGCTAACAGCAAACAAATCGACGACACAAACAAAACAAATCCAAATAATCAAAATCATCCCCCCATTCTCGAGAGAAATTGTAAGGTCAGCTGAAAATGTGGCTCAGGCATATCGAAGTTGTGCTTCCGATATACTTAAACAATTCCCCACAACAATGCAACAGAAGATGACAATCTCAAAAACAATAACCGTGACGAAAGATGACCGCAAACTTCATACACTGACAGTTATTGCTCCCCCCGAAGCAGAGCAATTCATAACTAGCATCAAAAGCGAAGGAATCATTCTTCTTAACAGGACGGTATTTCCCATGGGATGCTTTCCAAGGTCTCATAGACCCAAGAACATTTACCCTAAACTAGCAAAAATCAAATTGTCGAACTTGCCTTATGTATGCAACGATATCGAAGCGAAATTAATTCTCCAATTGCCAGAAGACATAATTCATAGCCCCATATTCCAACGTGAGACCTGTATCGTAACTGAACCGGGTCAGTATGTTTACACAGGAAGAGCAATTTTAGAAGTTAAAATACAAAACGAAGAACAAGAGAAAAAGCTGAAGGACTGGTCTTATAAATCGAGAATGGATGGCTTCAAAATGTGGGAAGGTGTAGAAATCTCGTTTCACATACCTTCACTACATGAATGTCAAAAATGCAAGATGTCTGGACGCCAAGAAAAAGGTCATCACGATGATTGGTGTAACATAGGGAACCAAATAACCAAAAATCCAAATAATCACTACCCACAAAAACCAAGCTCCAATAATGCCAGCGACGAGAAAAACGATGACAAAACAACAATCGATAAGTTTTGTGATGGTACCGAAAATGAAGAAGATAAGAATGTTGAAGCACCACCATCTGGAGTTTTGATTGATGAATCTAAAACAAACAGTGCAGCTACTCCAAGCGAAGAAAAACAAAAGAATGAGGTTCTCAACAATCAGGTCGTAGATTTTCATTCTTACTCTGCAAAAGAAAAAAAAGACAAACTAAATATCGAAAATAACAAACGAAAATGTTCCTCTGACGGAAGAATGCTTACAAAAAGAGAGCGTGAAACTTCACCAACCTCTTGGTCAGTTTTAACACGGAAGAAAGGGCCAAAAATGAAATCTAAAAATAACGGAGAAGACTTGGTTGGAGGGAAGTTTTAGCAAAATTTTTATGTGCGAAAAACCAGATGTTTTTTCCGTTAATATTTTTAGCATAGGAAATCCAGCTAAATTACACTCACTTATCAAAAAATGCCAAGTTTTAAAAAAATCACCCAGTTTCATTTTGTGCATTCAGGAAG